AAAAAAAAAATTGTTCAGAAAGTCCCAAAGAGTCTCACGTGCCAAAGGACATAATACAGACTATAATTTAAGTCAATTAAATCATATAATTGAAATCAAAAGTTAGGAGTTAACTGAAACCATGGAAAATACAGAGCCAAAGAAAGTTTCAGGAGAAATAGCAGGGGAAGAGAATCACTAGAAGAAGGAAATAAATCTGTGGCCTTTTGACTTAGAGGAAACCACTCCTCCTTGCTGCCTTTGAATGGCACACCAATGGGATGTGGAAATCCCAGGAGATTGTACCCAGGTGTTTCCATGGCAATACCACCCCTTCCTTCCCCTCCTCTAAGTTATTCTTATTCCAAAATCTACCTACCATGTTAGCACATATAAGCTATGAAGAAAATATGAATTGCCATATGGAAAGAAGTCCAGAATTAAATCACTTTACCAGGTTGTTAGGTCTGAGCTCTATTCCTGTCGTATCTACAGCCTCTACCAGAATGATCAGCACACAACAGACTCTCAATATTTGAACATCTCAAAGAGTAGCAGCAATCCTAATCCTACCGCTGCTCAAAAGAATGCTTATTGGAAAGCCAGGGATTTAGTCTCCATTGCTCACACAAGGCATCATTGTATGATCACATCATACATGCTTATAGACACATTAACATGCCTACCAGTTCATAAACTAATGCAGTAGTTAGCATACTAAAAGATTGATTTTCTTGCACCTTACCGCTGAGTTTAAAATATGTCATCAGAGGTTCTGGAGAGATGTCTCAGAGGTTCAGGGCACTGGCTGCTCTTTTGGAAGACCCAGGTTTGATCCCCAGCACCCACATAGAGACTCATAACTGTCTATAACTCCAGGTATCTGACACCGTTTTCTGGCCTCTGAGGAAACTGTATGCATGTGCCACACAGACATGCACTCAAGGTGAAAAAAATCCATACACATAAAATAATAAGTAATAACAATAGTGATACATTTTTTAATGCTGTTAAATTTATTGTACATGACCAGCCATCATGACCAGAGAAAACAGTGGATGAGAAGAACCAAATGCCAAGAGGTGGTCATTATCAATAAAACTGGCAGTCATACTTTTTCTTGGTGATATTGCTGTAGCATACATTAGCAAAACCAGTCTTGTTCCCATTTTTAGACCCGTTTCTTTGACATAAATTAACTCATTTCCTGTAGGCTGAAGCATGGGCCGGATGGTAGAATTTCTGCTGGTCTTTGAATTCTTTCAGTGTTCTGATAGCAGGCTTGAGTATGGCAGTGGAAGAGGCGTTTGTAGATCCAGGTCCCACCAGCCACTGCTTCTATGCAGGAACCACAGCTCATTTCTTTAGCTAGGTTTGGCCTCAAAAAAAGAGGGTGTGCTTGGCTGGCTGGCTGACTCCAGTTTGTAACCATTTTCATTATATTGGGTCTCATATTTACTGACTATTGCAAACGTGGATATGTGCACCTCAGGGGTGTAGTTCTTATTCTCGGGGCACCCTTTGTCCAAGTGCTGGTTTGAAGTTTTCATTGCTTATTCTCTGTGCCCTTTGGCATTACCTAATGATTTCCTGACTCTGGCCACTGTTTGAGAAGTCAGCGTCAGAAGTCGGGTTTCACCAAGATATTTTCTTGTCCTTTCCAGCACAAAGCTCTAGAAACAAAGGCAGGGTTATCACATGTCCCCAAGAGCTGCCTGGGAAAAGCAAGAGCTACAGTTATCAGTATTAGAGCCTTTCTGAAATATGCTTTTGTCCCCGTGTTCACTGCATTCAATCACATCAACAAGTGTTGGCTAAGTGTTGAGCGCGGTTTCCTGTGGGATTGTGTAAGGCTCTGCAGGACAATAAATGCTTTGGGGGCACTGAGTCGTACAGCCATTTCTGACCCAACAGCCAGAAAAAAATGTGACACAATTCACTGCTGCTGGAGAGAGAACAGCCCGAGGTTGAGTTCTTGCAGGAGCAGCTTCACCGTGGTGGACCCCAGGGAGACAGAACTAGCCCAAATGGTGCGTTTAAGTGGCCTGCGACTACGCGGGATCATATCTTACAGAATAGGTTCAGACACAGATGTTGTGGGGCCTGGAGGTTTTAAATTTTGAAAAGCCCATCTCAGGGGGAAAATAACTCACAAAATTATGAATACAGAGGTGTTGGGCTGCCCCTGGCCCTTGAAAGGGAGCTTGTAATTTGGGGACCAGAGGCTTAAATTGCTACAGTTTCACTGTGAATTCTTCACCTTGCTCAAACTCTCACTGAGAGTCTGTCTGATTGGGTGCCTAGCACAGCCAGCTGGATGTAGCTTTGTGCTTTCCTCTGCTGATTTTCTCCACACGCTTTTTTCTGTATTGCCCTGGCAATGACATTTCTCATTGTCTCTATAACTGCTCGCAAAACAAACAAACGAACAGCAACAAAAATAAAAACAAGAGCTTTTAGATGTACCTTCCTTTCTTTATCTTTTTATCATGCTTTTTCAGCTACATATGTTTGGTTTTCTGTTCCTGAACTCTCCGTAAACCAGAAATCAAGAATGTTCATGATGGAAAGAGAGATGTGGGAGACAAATGGTACATTTGGTTCCCACGGACATAGAATTAGAGTTCTTGCTAGCTCAGATGATTTCACTGGACTTTAAAAAAACTACTGCAAATAAATCGTGGTTTGTGTCAGTTCTCAAGAGTCACCAGAGTCAGCTGTGCTCTTTACGTTTTTTAATTTACTCTTTGATAAGTTTACACACGGATGAAAAATATTTTTCATCAAGTGTTTATTTAGTTCAGCTCCTGTTTCCTCTCGCTCCCTTGGAATCTGCTCTTCCTCTGAACACTTCTCCTTTCTACTGTGTTTTTACCTACTGTGTTTACTCAAGGTTGCTTGTATGAGTGTGGGTACGGGGTTCTTTACTAGAGCAGTTTATTAGTGAAGAGTATGCTTTCTAAGCAGCTGCAGGAGGTAATCATGCTATCTATCGGTCCATAAACCACCCTTAGAGTCACTTTCAAGTATGTGTTTGGATAAGTATTTATGGTGGTACAGATACACTATCCAGAGGGGCTGATACAACCTCATTTGAAGGTTAACTAGTCCCCAAGAGAGCTGACAACAAACTTAAGGAACAGGTGCTTGTTGACTTGAGACTACATAAAGAACATGGAGGTGGGATATGAGAGAGGAAAAATTATCTTTGAGGCACACATCATTGTCTTCTGTCTTCTGACTTCACTGTGGTCTATTTATCAATGTAACCATAGTGTGGCCTGTCAAAGCCTCATCTCCTGTGGTGCTGGGCAGGACACTGCCATTTTCTCATGACTTCTCAAAACCCTTCAAGACAGTTATTGTTTTTACTCCATTTACAGATGAGGAAGCTGAGGCTTAGCAGGATTAGGTAATATGTCAGGTTGCAGAGAGACAGAGAAAGATTTGAACCTATCCATATGTGATACCAATCCACATCTAAAGTGCAATAGATGCTAAGCCAATGCTAGCTGATATATTTACCACTTTTTACTTTTCTGATGAATATGCCCGGGGGGGTGCGGAGGAAGGCCAAAAGGAAGAGGTTGCTCAAAATAAGAAAAGGTGGCTTAGAAATCCTCTAGAAGGCACAGAAGGCGAATCTTATGTGCAAAGCCAATGATCTCCCACAGAAGTAGCACTGGAATTTTCTCTTGGTGAGAATAAAGTTTGCCTTGTTTTCATAAGCTTATCTCAGAGCAGTCAACGTTTGGTCTTCCAAAATGCTAAGGATGTGAGTGTTGACATTAGTTTTTCTGTCTATCTTGTGCCAAGATCAACTGTAACTCTCTGACCTGCACAGTATCGTGTGAAATAGGGACTTGTTGGGTCTACAGAGCTGAAAGCCAGCACCAGAAGCTTTGTTCAGCCACTGTGCCTGATTCTGAATTGTACTTCTTGTTCTTGCTTAAAGCTTACCCTTGTATTATGTTCAGTTGTTTATCAGAAGAATAAACAGGGCCAACTTTGGGTAAATATTTGACTATTTAAGTTGTCGCAGGAGTCTCTAATTTCTTTTTCAGACTCCTGCCCAATCTTCATTTGGAGTACCTCCTTTCTCCTGACTAGTTTCCTGCATATCCAATACACTTATCACTTTAATATTTTAACACCAATCGATCAAAATCTATAGCTAAATGACATGTAAAAGAAGACAATAAAACAAGAAAAGGGTAAGAAAGTGCTGCCTCAGCTCTCCCTTTTAAAGAACAAAGCCTTAAAAACCATCTTGTCAGGGAAGAGGTTTCTGATGTCAGCTATTGACTGGGCCCATTTAAATGCATCTCATCTCCTGTCTCCAGCTCCCACCTTCTTCGCTACCTGTCATTTACTCCCACTTTTAAGGCTGCATGTTTTTAGCACCATTCAAAATATGCATTATAATTCACCTATAGTGTCTGTGTTTCTGGAGCCAGGGATAAAATACAGGGCCTTGTACATGACTGACAAGCATTCTTTACTTTCGTGCTGTACCCTACGCATGCCTAGAGTTTTACTATCTAACACTGTATTGAGGCATCCTGCTGAATGATTATTTCCAAGTCACATCTTTCTGAGAGTTCCCTTGTAAAGGTTCCTTGCACAGGTCATATTAGACCCATATTTATACCTAGTTCCCTCAGCAGTGTGCCTTAAGGTGGAAGTAGTTTTGGTTGAACATAGAGATCACTCTCATATTTGAGTCTCTCTGCATTTCTCTCTCTGCCTCTCTACCTCTCTGTCTGTCTCTCTCTGTGTGTCTCTCTATCTCTCTTTCTCTCTGTCTGTGTGTGTGTGTGTGTGTGTGTGTGTGTGTGTCTGTGTGTGTCGGTGTGTGTCTGTGTCTGTGTGTTTCCCTCTCTTTGATACAGGATCTCACTGTGTAGTCTTAATTGGTCTGGACCTCAGAATGTAGACCAGTCTGGCTTTGAATTCATAAAGACCCTCTTGCCTCTGCTTCCTGAGTACTGGGATTAAAGGCATGTGCCACCATGCCCAGTTATTTCTGAGTATGTCCGGTGCCATAGTATGAACTCATCTAAGGCAAGACAGCCGAAGCTACTCCCTGGGCTATTAGATCACTGCTTTGTAATTTTAGCAAAGTTGCTTTAGGATGTTAGGGTTCAGTATATCATTAGTAAAAAGTTGCTCCAAGCTTTTACACTCTATGGCTGCTTTCTTGTGTTTAGGTTAGAGTCTTCTCAGGTTTAGATCACACAGTGGCTGTGTTGTTTTCTGTCACTGGTATCTTGGTCAAGAATGTGGACTTTAGAGCTGAGTGACCAGAATTCAAATACCAACTCCAACACACTAGCAGTGTGACTTGGTGTTCTATATAGTTCTGAAAATGATCTACAATAGCTGTACTTTCAGTTTCAAATGAGTGTTGGTTTCTTTCCTTTGTTTGTTGTTTTGTTTTTGTTTTTCAAAACAGGGTTTCTCTGTGTAGTCTTGGCTGTCCTGAAACTCACTTTATAGACCAGACTGGCCTCAAACTCACAGAGATCTGCTTACCTCTGTCTGATGAGTGCTAGGATTAAAAGGCTTACAACATCTTGCAAAAACTGACTGAAGTTTCTGATTGAGGCTCTCTTGTCAGTGAACTTCTGGCTTCCCAATTCACACTGCAGGCATTTTTATGCCCTGAGATAAACAATAGTAACCGCTGTTGGAAATGGTTGATCTTTTAGCTATTCTGGAAGACATTAGATTTTTGTGGAGTTTGTTTGTTTGTTTGTTTGTTTGTTTGTTTAGGGGTGAGGTATTCGAGGCAGAGTTTTTCTGTGTAGCCTTGACCATCCTGGAACTTACTCTGTAGACCAGGCTGGCCTTAATTAAACTCACAGAAATCCACCTGCCTTTGCCTCCTGAATGCTGGGATTAAAGGCATGCATCACCACTGTCCAGACAAGCTGATTTTTTAAATACTTTTCATTGCTTGCAGTTTTTTTTCTTCTTTCTGTTACAGAGCCCAGGGAGGGAGCGGTCTGATTCAGGGCAGGGAGTTTGGAGGATACTTGGCAAAAATATGCTTGACTATGAGACAGGAGGTCAACTGTCTCTCAGAATCCATGTTTAATAAGCTTAAACAGCACCTGTTAAATTACCGATATAATATAAATTACAACTGGGCAATTGTTTTTCTATTGTAAATATAACAAATGTATAAATCCTAATAGGATTTCATGTTTTCATATTTTACTTTTTTTTCCCCTTTGGGGACTGGAGAGATGGTTCAACAGTTAAGAAAGTATCCTATACTGATCTTGCAGAGAAACTGAGCTTGATTTCCAGCATCTACATTGGACACTCACAATTGCCTGCAACTCCAGCTTCAGGGGGATCTTACAATGGCACCTATACTCACATGTGCATATGTATGCAAGCACGAGCGCGTGTGCACACACACACGCGCACACACACACACTTTTTAAGATAAAACAATATCGTTTTTCCTTTTCAGGCTGTTTATAGTAAAATGAATGGGTTCTGTTAAGTTCTCACATCTCACACTTTTTGAAATCATGATTTGGTGCCCATAGCATGCCAGGTTTTTCATTTAACTGGCTTCATGCAAGAGGGCTATGACAGATCACATTGTATGAATCGGGTCAGTAAAACTTAGAATAAGAAAGGGGCCTGCCTTGTCCAGGTGTCTCAGCTACTTCAAACTCTTCAGGTGCTTCAACATACTGCTCCACAAACAGCCTTACATATTAGTCCTGAAACCCATCTTACATATGCTTGTTGTCACTCAGGGTCATGGAAAGGTAACTGTTATTTCAGTTACTCAGTGTCAGACACCCTGCCAACTGAAGGTCAAGCATCTCAGGGAGAACTGACACATTGCCCTTATTCTCAAAAGATCATTTCCTTGTGAATCTTAAATAACCATGGTGATTATGAGTCATACCAATACAACATGTAGCTTTTATATATGTGATTAGTAGCATGATAGTTGCTACTTTCACTGTATTGATTTCTGCCAGGGTTGGTTTTGCCTCCCCTGTGCGTAGTTTAATATCTTTATGGAAATAGTCAGCATGGATTATTTGGTAAGCAAATTGATGGTTCTAGTCTATGTGGGTGTTATTATGAGAGTCCAGTCACATCCCACCCATTCCTGTATGGAAATAGATTCTCGTTTAATACAAACTGGGTTTCATGTGACAGTGTACTGTGAAAGGGGCTTCATTTACTCTTACCTTCTGCAGGGTCTTCCTTCTGCTAATAGTGAGCAGATCAGACCTTGTGGGTCATTAAACAGGCATGTGAATCAACAGGGGTGCCAGATGTCCCTTTAGCTGCTATCATAATAAGAAGGAGGAGATGTCACATTTCTAAAAATGAATCCTTATGGAGTATCACTTCCTGTAGCAAGAGGGACCACAGAAGTGCTTTCATTTTGGACCTCTATTTGGCTGTAAAGAGGAAGGAAATCATGACACGTGCAGAATCAAACCAGAGATCATTTGATTCCATGAAATAAGACAGACTCAGAAGAAAAATACCACATTTCTCTTACATGCAAAAATCTATAACTTTCTCTGTACATGTATGTATAAATGTTCATGTATATGTAGGACATGAGAATAGAAGGGAGACTATAAAAGAAGAGGAGGAGGTCCAAAGGAAGCGGGGAACAAAGAGAACTGCAGTATATGTGCAGGAAAGCAAGAAGAGGTAGCATTTAGGGGAGGGTAGTTGGGTACAAAAAAAAGGATAAATGTGTGAAATGACATCATAAAACTCTTTAAGAACAGTTTTGAGGGTTTGGGGGGAGTTGCTGTTGTTTTTATTTGTTTGTTTGTTTGGTTGGTGGTTTTTGGTTTTGGTTTTTTTTTTTTTTTTGAGACAGGGTTTCTCTGTGTAGTCCTGGCTGTCCTGGAACTCACTTTGTAGACAAAGCTGGCCTTGAACTCAGAGATTCGCCTGCCTTTGCCTCCAATGCACTAAGATTAAAAGTCTGAGCCACCACAGCCGATGAATTTATTTTATTTTTAATCATATGTGACTGCAGTGCCAACAAGAGCATGCTCATCAGACACCTCTGGAACGAGAGAAGGCCACAGAGGGGAAGGAAGCAGGTAGACAGAGAAGGGAAGGGCCAAAACTGGACAGAAGCCATGAGAGTTTGTTAGACTATGGCAAAAGTGTGACTCGTCAGGATGGGATACTTCAAGTCTGTAAACATATCTAAGAGTCTACCTTAGAGAGTGGAGCCTTGAAGACCTGGCCCCTGTGAAGCAAATTTCAGAGACACAAATGCTTGGTACACAAGAATCACACATCACAGCATGTGAGCCCACCTTAATGACACTAAGCATGCATGCCTACATATCTGAAAAGAAAAATAATCTAGGGATATACTCATCTTTTTCTTAGGCCTGCTTGAGTTCTGTATTGTGACTAAGCAAGTATTATGTGTTTTTAAGTGAAAGAAAGCAATCACAAAGGGCAGAATTAACTGAACAATGACGCTAAAATTTGACAAGTTATACCTTGTCTGGAGCAGAAGTCTTGTAAACTCTTAGAAATTTATTGTAGAATGTCATTGAAGGCCTCAGAGCTCCCCTTTCTACTTCATACTCTTCCTTCTAGTATATGGAGGATTTCACAATTCTTCTTAATCCTTCTGTATCATTTCCTCCAGATCCATCTATAATGTGAAGTACATAAAAGCTCAATAAAGATCACGGTATACAATCATTGTGCGGTGCTGGGAAAGACTGCCTCTTACCCTGGACATGAAGCCCCGCTTGTTTAAAACACTGCACTGATCAGATTTGCTAAGTTCATAGATGGCTTTGATAAATATTGTTTTAGCTGCTCATGTACGAGAAAATTGGCAAGAACTTTTAATGTTTTTTAATGTAGAAAACAAATATGACATAAAAGTGCCTTGCAACTATGCCTCCCTAGTGTACCTACTACCCCGTCTTATCACCGTGTCCCATGTTACGCTCACAAAAGAATTGGTCCCCCCTTTTAAAAATTCATAAAACAATATCCAGAGCCAAAAGTATGCAATATTTTCTTCTATTTAATGAATAGAAATGCCTGTGATCTGCCTGTAAATCAAGCAATGCTCTTGAGAATAGTTTCAATAGTCATAGTCTTCCGACCTATGTACATAACTGTAAAGAGGTGCTTTTCTTAATCCCCACTTTAGATTCTGTGGTCTATATCAGGAGGAGTGACTAATGCTGATTTATTGAGTGCCAGCCTGTGTTTCTCAGTCTCCCTATCTGTCTACTACCTGCTGTGGTAGGTTCTTCATATTCCTGGGCTAATAGGAAGGGCTGGCTAGTGACTGGCTGGGTTTGCTTCCGTGCGTGCACCTGCTTCTGTGCTAAGGGAACAATGTCTGTGCTGGTGCTTCCTGATCAAGAGTGTGAATAGGATGCAAATATCTTCTCTTTTAAGGCATGTCCCTAGCATAGTCAGGGAGAACATGAGAAATGGTGCCTCAGAGCAGGAACGTACTGCTTCCAGCTTGAGAGTTAAAGTTATTATGTAGACTTCAGCTCCACAGAGTCTAAGGTAAGTAAACTTAATTATCTTGAGACCATCAAAGACAGATTAGAACTACCGGGCACTTAATTGCTAATAATGGCATACTCTCACAAAGCTAAGAACATGAAGTCTATCTCTGTGGCCCATGGATTAACAGGACTACTTTTCTTTGTCAGATCTGATACCAGACTAAAACTGTCTGTTTTAGTAGAAAGAGGGAGTTGACACACGTTTTTTTCTCCCTAAATACCTTCAGTTTTAATGTTCTCCATAATTTGTGAATGTGCTCACTCCACTGCTCCTTTGCATCTCTTTTGACATTTTCGTCATCTTTTCTCCCATCTTCTTCCTGTGATTTACTCTTGATATTGTCAAACATATCTTCATCTTTCGTGTCAGAAGACCCAGTTCTGATCCTGGGTACTAAATGTCCCTCACGATGATACCGATGGTTTGTGGTGATTTGGATAATCCGCTGAAACCACTGGCCACAGGCATGGAAGGAAATCCAGTTATCAGTTACTTGATAGATGGAGTGCTGTTTAAAAGATTTTACTATCCCCTATTCAATTCAATAAGTGTGCATAGAGTGTTTCAACAGTGGAGACCATTCAGTTGGGAAGATGGTGCAAACATGTTAACTGTACAATACAGAGTGGGACATGTGTCAGGGAAGAAGTAATATGCTGTAGAAAAGCTGTATACCTGCAAAACTCAGAACAAAGACAGAAGGAAACTAGGTGGGATTCGTGGCCTATTCTATAATCCTAATTCAGCCTTAGATTTAGAAGTCAGCATCTTTATTCTTCCTGGACCTAGCTAGATACTGCAATAATTTCAACTCTTTTCTTTAGGACGACACTATGGATAGTAAATCCATTCTGGAAGAACTGCTTCTCAAAAGGTCACAGCAAAAGAAGAAAATGTCACCAAATAATTACAAGGAGCGGCTTTTTGTTCTAACCAAAGCAAGCCTTTCCTACTATGAATACGACAAAATGGTAAGGTTCTCCTTCCTTGTTTTGTGCTAGTTATTATTCTTCCAACGTCTCTTCAAAGTCCTTGATTATAATGAAAGAACACCAGCATTCTTAGCTAAGAGGAAAGATCAGCTTGTATTAACATATTACACTGCCTCACTTTAATGATGTATCAAGAGAAAGGATGGGAAACTACTTGTCCATTTCATTAAGACCAATCATAACATGACTTTAACAGTAATTCTCAGGTAAAGTAATTTGTGTTTCCTGAAAGACATTGGACAATGATTAGAGATATGACAGCTGTCACAACTCATTCTGGGGACCAATAGACAAGCCCTATGAGCATCTGGTGGACAGACACTGAGGATACTACTAAAATACTCTATAGCTCACAGGTCACACTTCACACCAAAAAGCTATCCATCCTCAAATGTTAATAACAGTGCTGATGGTGAGCAATGCTGCCATAAAACAGTAGTGGAAATAACAACATCTCTGTGTAGTTAAGAACTTGAGCATAGGGGGAAAACCAAACCACCATTAAAAAACAACTTGAAGTGAAGATACTTCATGGTATTAAACCTTGATTTCACGATTAACCACTTGGCAGGGGATTTCAATAAATATTACACAATTCTCAAATAAGATTGTTAACTATCACTCAGATACTTGCCTTTGGAGAAGCATGTGGGCATGTGTTCAGAGTTCAGAAATGTGATTGCGAAAGCCATAGAGCAACAGAACATGTGTCTCTGTTGACTTCCACATCCATTAGTCCCCCTCCAGACGGTAACTTTAGCTGTGTACTTTTCCCTGCTCACCATGACACGCCAACCTGATATAGCTTCTGGTTTGCTTTTTTAATTCAGAAAAGAGGAAGCAGGAAAGGATCAATAGAAATTAAGAAAATCAGATGTGTGGAAAAAGTCAACCTTGAGGAACAGACACCTGTGGAGAGGCAATACCCATTTCAGGTAAACGGGGGAACATCTGTTTAATATTTTCTATTCTTAGCTCACTGTGCCCAGGAAAATAACCATATTGCAAAAATAACCCCTTGAGACATTGATAATGTTTGGAATAGCCCCACGTGTGTGCTGGCAGTCTATCATAGCCCTCCTGGCCAATCTGCTTCTCTCAAAGGGAGGGGAAGCTGGATGAGGGTGTAAGCTACCTGCTTACACTGTAAGCCTGACCTGCTTCGGGTCTACCCATCTCTTTTATGAAACGCTGTGGGGTGTCTCTCTTCTCTTGGGTAACAGCAAGTAGGAAGCTATGCAGGATTAAATACCAACCCTGCCCCATGTGTCTCCAAGGAGATGGCAAAATAGACTGTCATAATACAGGGAGAGTGAGTGTTAAGATAGAGGTTGATGTAATACATTCTTTGCTCCTCACTCTAATGTGTCAGGAAAATGTTCTGTTGGAGTTCACACTTGGGTTGGGAAGGACCAAAGGACTTTAGCTAGCAGAGATGGAGGAGATAGCACAATGCAGGAAATAGCAAGTGCCGAGGCACTGGAGGCTAAAATACCAGAAGTAAAGAGACCAGCCTAGAGAAGCAGGTGGTGCTGTGCTACAAAGGACTCTGCATTCCAAGTTAACCAACTTTGATTTTAAACCAAAACAATTTTTTTTAAAAAAGCAGTGTGTGTGTGTGTGTGTGTGTGTGTGTGTGTGTGTGTGTGTGTGTATGTGTGTGTGTATGGTATGCTCCCACATGCCACAGCATAAATGTGAAGGTCAGTGAACAGCTTGTAGGAGTCAGCTCTCTCCTTCCACCATGTGGGTTCAGGGGATCAAAATCAGGTCCTCAGTCTTGATGGCAAAGTACCCTTCCTTCTGAGCCACCTCACTGGCCCCATAGCCCCCAAAGAATTTTAAATAGTCTCATGCTAGACAAAGTGCCTTTGTTTCAACCAAATTAGACCTACTACAAAACTAGCACCCAGTTGGGGAAAACCAAGGGAGAGGGTATCCATGGAGGCAACCTCAAACACAGCAGGGACACAGAGCCTACTCAAAGTCACAAATGTTTTTTAGCCCTACAGAGTTATTAGCACACTTGTGTTTATAAACCTATAAAGATACATCACAATTTAGCTGGGGTGGTGGTGATGGTGCATGCCTTTAATCCCAGCACTCACTGGAGAAGTAGAGATAGGTGGATCTCTGTGAGGCCAGTCTGGTATACAGAGGGAGTTCCAGGACAATCAAAGCCACACAGAGAAACCCTGTCTCAAAACAAAACAAAACAACCCCCATCACAACTTATCCCTTAGTATACTTGCTCATTTGTTAGAAAAAAAAGAAACCACATACTCGTATATAAATAAAAGGAAAACTATTAAAGTAGGATGAGCCCAGCCACTAAGAGATCTTTATGAAGTGGTATATATTATTTTCCAGTTGTAAAAAAAGCCTGACCCAAAGTGAGTATTGTAATTTTCAAATTGGGGCAGGTGTATAAGAACTTGGGTACAAGAAGAGGGCATCTGGTGTCCTGCCTGTGGAGGCAAGATGATACCAGGTGTCCAGCATTGTCACCCTCCAGCTGATTCTCTAGAGATAGGATCTCCTACTGATCCCGGAGCTCCAGCAATCTTCCTCTCTGTGACTTCCAGAGAACAGAGCTTGCAGGTTTGTATCCATCATGCCCTGCTTTCCTTACCCACTGAACCCTCTCTCCAACCTCATAAAATACTTCTACTGGTTAGAAAGATAGACCACAGCACTTCTGAGAAATATGTAGTTTACCATATTAAATGTAATTTCAAAGGTAATATATGTTCTATGAGAAAAGGTTTATTTCTGATAATGTGAAATTTCACAGGTACACCAGATTGAACCATGAAACACTTGTATCAAAATCCATTGCTTTTTTTTTCCCCCATCCAGATTGTGTACAAAGATGGACTTCTTTATGTCTATGCATCAAATGAAGAGAGCCGATGTCAGTGGTTGAAAGCACTGCAAAAAGGTAACAAAATGCTATAATGAAGGCTTGGATTGTTTTCCTATGAAGCTCAGGCAATGGCTGGTATTCATGCTTGCTTTTGCTTTCTCAGTGTTACAGGCAGGAAGTCCAGGATCACCATAGCTTTCACACTGAGCACAGAGCTAGTTATTGTGTCTTCCCTGGGCATGGTGGGGGAGGGGGAGGGTGGACACAAGGGGCAGGCCAACTGTACTTCCTGCTGTGCTTCAAGTCCTATTGGGACCATACTGCCAATGCTCATAAACAGTTAGCGTTAACAAGTGCTGGACACTTGCCACTTGCCAGCCACTCTATTAAGCACCTGTGGCGTCTTGTTGCATAATCCTCTTGACAACTCTATGGACAAGGGCATTATTAATCTTCATTTTTTACACACGTTTAAAAGAAAACAGCCAAATGCCACAAAACTTCATAATGGGAATCTGAAAATTCAATTACCTGAATCCAACTTTTAAAATCACTATATTTTTTAACGTAAGTATTTTGCCCCAAATTGAGAATTTGATAGATTTTTTTAAAATTAATTTTTATTGGATATTTTATTTACATTTCAGATGTTATCCCCTTTCCCCACTTCCCCCCACCAAGAAATCCCCTATCCCATCCCCCTCCTCCTGCTTCTATGAGAATGTGTCCCCACCCACCCACTCCCACCTCCCCAGCCTCAAATTCCCCCACACTGGGGCATCCAGCCTTCACAGGACCACAGATCTCCTCTCCCACCTATGCCCAACAAGGCCTTCCTTCACTGCATATACAACCGGAGCCATGGATCCCTCCCTATGTGCTCCCAGGCTGGTGGTTTAGACCCTGGGAGCTGTGGTTGGTTGGTATTGTTGCTCTCCTCATGGGGCCACAAACCCTTTCAGCTCCTTCAGTCTTCTCTCTCACTCCTCCATTGGGAACCCCATGATCAGTTCAATGGTTAGCTGTGAGCATCTGCCTCTGTATATGTCAGGCTCTGGCAGACCTCTAAGGAGACAGCTATATCAGGCTCCTGTCAGCATGCACTTCCTGACATCCACATCAGCGTCTACCTTTGGTGACTGCACATGGGGTGGATATTCCGGTGGAATGGTTTCCAGATGGCCCCTCCTTCAGTTTCTGTCCCACAATAAAGATTTTATGTGTGACGTTTAAGCTGCCTCGGTAATAAGGAAGAGGATTGTTATTATTAGTTTGGTGCCATGATGTTTTCCTCTACAATCTTTTTGGTTTTAAAAAGGTCATGTTGTAAGAAGATACATAACTCAAATCCGTGGCTCTACTGGTGCAGCTTCAGGTTTTAGCATCTTAGACAGAGGAAGATTTTATTTTACATTTACTTTTAGGTGATGGCAATATCTTAGTACAACCCCACTGCATACACCCATTCCACCTCAATGTAAATGCATCCTTTCCCACACAAGCTTCTCCATTTTCCCTTTCTGTGAAAGGACTTAATCTATTTTGTAGAACAGTGAAGTAGTCCGTAGTCCCTCATTATCCATATCTGTAATCATTTCAATAAAGTTAGATGGCTATCTCTGTCAGGGCCAGGCGAACACCTATTCTCTCTCTCTCTCTCTCTCTCTCTCTCTCTCTCTCTCTCTCTCTCTCTCTCTCTCCCCCTCCCTCCCCCCTCCCCCTCTCCCTCTCCCTCTCCCTTTCCCTCCCTCTCTCTCTCTTTCTCTCTCTCTTTTATGTTTATATATACATACATATATATGTATGTATATGTATATGCATATGTATATGTATTGCACACACATAGACACAAATACTCACACTATATAACACATCTGTACCTCTGTTTCCTGACCTGTAAATGAGGAACATATTATATTTATGAATGATTCCAAAATGTAATACAATATTCTCTTACACATAGGTCATTGTGGTTATAATGGGGCTTCCAGGAGGAGCCCTAAGGTTTTGCTTCCCAGCCATTCATCTTTTGAGAGACTCTCCTGGGGCTCAGTTGTCGTGTAGATACTTCTCATATTCAGCTCTTGTATAGCCCCATGTCTCCATTTATGGGTTTTTCTTGAACTATACACGTTGTCCAGGCTTTGGGGAGGGGATTGGGTAATACACATGAGGGTTTATGGATAGAAAAGGCGAACAAAGAGACCAGCAACAATACGTCTTTTGGTCCCTCACAAAATTGTAGTGTTTCCATTCCTAGTGGTGCTGTATGCACAACAGAAAGTGTGTACCTGCTAACTGAAAGAGAGTACCTCCTCTTTGTACTTGAGGAGAAAAGACATCAAACAGTGATTGGAATAAATCCATGTTTATGGTCTCTCCCACAGAGAGTGCAAGGCAGGCAGTCTTGGGATTGGGTAGCTATTGGTGGATGTTAGGGACACAGATTCCTTCTAGCTTTCTGTTTTACCATTCTTACAGGTTATTGAAAGATTCTAATCTGTCATTGAAACCTCTCCTCCCCCCCCAAAATTTTCATTCATGCTACATCTCCTAGTACTAAGGCTCATATCTGTAGCTGGTCTTTACTACTTTGGAGGGGGAGTTCTTCTTTTTCCCACACTTTATCCCCTTGACTTTCACCCCCTATCACTAGATAGGAGAGAAAGGATAGAGTAGAGAGAGAGAGAAATAGAGATCTCTAAATTAATTTCTTTCTTCTTGTTTCTTCTTTGAGCATGATTGCAAATAAACCACAACCAACCCCACTGAATGACCACCAACCACCAATCCCACCTCTTGAGGCCCTAGCATTCACATAACCTCTGAAAAGTTTCCAGAATTCCAAACATCACACAATCACAGAAACTATCTGTGGTGACAAAACCACACCTCTGCTAGAGCACAAGGCAAATCACAGTCAGCTGCTGCGGACAGTCCGAAGCAACCCCGTATTAAAATTAAAATTAAAGGGGATTAAATGAAAGCATATTCTTATAATATTTCTGTGTTTTTAAAAGAACCCAAAATTAAATTCCAGAATCCTCACTACACATACCCATCTCTGTGTACAATAGACGTTGGAAAACAGTATCCAAATTTTTTTTCCAATCTGTGTACTGGAGGATAGATAAAGCAGTGACATTGTCATCAAGTTAGCAAACTAACATGCCATGGAAGACAAAGGCTCTCTCACTTAAATATTTCTCCTTACCAAGTTTCACCAGTTTGCATCATATCAGTCTATTTCTGTTGGGCAGACCAAATGATGTACGTGAGGAAAAATACATAAAGTCACATACAGTTTTTAAAATATCATTAAGTGTGGGAGTTGTTGCTATGTGGACTTTTGGACATTGTTGGTGAAATAGTTACCGAGGAAACTAAATCCTTTTTGTTGAAAACATTAAAAATCTTGACATGTTAAGGAGCAACAGCTTACACAAAAAGAAAGCATGGGATTCCAATGGTTATTTGGGACTAAAATCAGAAATTAGCATTTTATGACCTTAATTCATTCTATTGTAATTAACCTTTAATCCTCATTAGTTTTTCCTTGGGGCCAGCATTTTCAGCTAAACTAAACTGAGATGTACTAAATAAATGTCATTACTAAAACCTACTGTTTACTGAACAACTGATGCCAAAGTCCTATGCATAGTATTTTATACCCCTCAGTGATCCAGCCCAATATTAATTATCATTATTCCTCAAGTTGAGTTAATAAAGGAGGAATAAGACTCTCTTGGTTTCAGAGCTAAGGATTTTCTAGACTAACATAAAATCAAGAGGAAAGAGTTGAAGTCACCCATAGAACCAGCTGTCCCCAGCTAAAGGTATTTCTTGAGCTATCAGCTACTAACTCCTTGGAGGTTTCTCTGCTGTGTTGCAAAACTCATTAATTTTCTGTACATAGAGTATAACTTTCCAAGATTAGAATTTATTTTGTCTAGACTAACACTGTCTTATTCTCATGGTTCGCTTTTCCACTACTGGAGATGGAGCCCAGGACTTGGTGTCTGCTAGGCAGGTGCCCTACCAGCAAGCTGTACCCTTAGTTCTTCTTCTCTAATATACTCATATCCTAGAAAAGTAGCCTCTAGCTAGGTGTGGGAGTGGAGTCCTGTAGTCCCAGCATTTGGGATGTGGAGGCAAGAGAGTCAAGAGTCAAGGTCAGCTTTGGCTACACAGTGAGACAAAGTTAGATTTGTATACAGGAGACCTTGTCTCAAAAAAAAAAAAGCTAGCTTCCCACTCCCTCAAATTATTTATCCCTTAGAGTAAGGATGTCAAAGTTATGGAAGACAAAGAAAATACAAAAAACTATTCTAGCTCAAGGACAGCTAAATAACTAAATTTCATACATAATACTGGACCAGGACTTTGATCAGAAAAAAAGTAATTTAAAGAATATTATTGGAACCATCAGAGAAAATCAAATATAAAATATATTCAACTTCCTGAAATTGACAATTTGTTTTATAGTTAGGTAAGAGAATACCCCTGGTAATAGAAACTGTGTGGGGAAATATTTATGGATGACATTATTCAAGCCATATATCTGCTATTCACTCTAAATTATTAATTAAATAATAATGACAAAATTATGTGTGTCTTAAAGAGAAAGAAGCAGAAAAATATTATAGTTAGCAATTGGTGGATCTAAGGAACGGGTGGAAAAAGGATATATACCGCATGAACCTTTGAAATTTTTCCAAATGAAAACCCATAGTAAGTACATGCTCTCAGAACCTCTTTTGTTCCGAAGATCTAGTCCTACCACCTAGCTTACTTCTCCCACCAAAGAACATCAGGTGCTGTAACCCATTCAGGACCTTTGCATATGTACTTATAAAATCTTAATGGCAAGCTAGCCAGTGTATGCATTTTTCCTAGCTCGTTTATGTCAGAATGATACACTATTATGCTACAGTTAGACTGTGGATTATGCTGTGGTTTCTGTTTATTCTTTGAGTTTATTAACTTCCTGGTGAAAAACAACTGCTTTAGTAGACACTGGGTCTTACCTCGGTTGCTGGTAAATGGCATTGCCATTGTACTGAGATTATAGTATTTACTTACTACATTGCTTCTCCTGGGCCAATGTCTGCTTATATCTTGTATCCTTCCTGCTTGCTCTTCAGAGATACGGGGCAACCCCCATCTGTTGATCAAGTATCACAGTGGATTCTTTGTGGATGGGAAGTTCCTGTGTTGCCAGCAGAGCTGCAAAGCAGCCCCGGGATGCACTCTCTGGGAAGCATGTATGTTTAATGGGACCTTGGGGTAGGGTAAAGGGCCACTAGGTCAAGTCTGCTCAATGTCAGATTAGTTTTCCAAAAGCAAAATATGCCATGTTGATTGACATCATAGCAATACAGCTTTGTGAATGCTAAGTTAAAAATAAAGTCTAATTTTAGTGTCAGTTGAATCGTACTTCCTCAATATTAACTTACGCCTGTTTTTCATTTCATGAGAAATATTTTTAAAATTGAAACCATAATATACAAACAGAGAGAAAAGGAACATGAACTTGTATTGGTAGGGAGGTGGGGAGAATCCGAGAGGAATTGGAGGAGGGAAAAGAATATAATCAAAATATACTTTACGAAAATGTTTTAATAAAAAATTGAAAACATGGGTCAAGAGATGACCCATTAATGCCTCTCATAGTTCTCTAGTTTAAAACAAACTCGTTAGAATTAAAACGTGGTGAGCTTATCACCACAAACCGAACTGCTAGGTTTCCCACTTGATAAGATGATGGGCTAGAAAGATGACTCAGCAGTTAAGAGCACTGAGTAGCTCTTCCAGAAGTCCAGAGTTCATTTCCCAGCAACCACATAGTGGCTCACAACCAACTGTAATGGGATCTGATGCCCTCTTCTGGTGTGTCTGAAGACAGCTACAGTGTACTCATATACGTATAATAAATAATTCTTTAAAAGAAAGAAAATGAGTGACTGGAGAGGTGGCTCAGTAATTAAGAGTACCAGCTGCTTTTCCAGGGAAGGCCTAGGTCAGGTTCCCAGCACTCACCTGGCACTTCACTACCTGTAACTCCAGTCCCAGTAGATCCAATGCCTTCTTCTAGCCTCCTTGGACACTGCATGCATGTGGTACACGGATATATCCAAGCAAAACACCCAGATAAGCAGGTATAATGGCATATATTTGTAATCATGGTACTCAGGAGCTGAGGCAAGAAACTCTTAGTTTAAAAGTAGTCTGAGCTACATAGCAAGTTTAAGACTAACCCTCACACTGAGACCCTGTCTCAACCCCCCACACACAAGCACACACGCACACACAGAGAGATCGATTCTTCCTTCTTATATAAAAAAGCAAAAAAGAAACCTCATGAAACAACCCTACTTTTTAAAAATATATAGCAAAAGATACAAATTAAAAATGTGATAGTTTTAATTATCACATATACCAACATGATGATGGCTAGCATTACGGGATTTATTTAAAGTGACCAGTCATTCTGTACAGATGAGTTGGCTTCTTAGCATGTGGAAATGAGGTATAAATTGCTTGTTGGATTTAGAGGAACTTGAACTTTCCATCCAGGCATTGCAGTATGTCAGTCACGGGAGGTGGACAAGTGCTGTTTGTGTTGAGCATTGCATGAGAAAGCTCCAGCGTTGCTTGAAGTTCAAGTTCGGTTGATCTGGTGAATGTGCTTCATATCTTTTCTGATTCTCAGTGCGGGGTGTTTTCCTTTGCTCTGTTTGCTTTTCAGATGCTGATCTGCACATTGAAATCAGTGATGAGAAACACAGAGCTCCCACTTTTCCAGAGAGGGTAGTAAGTCCAGATTTAAATTATTTTTAAGGATGAGCTATTTGCACACATGTGTCATTCTATTTTGTCCTAATTCATCATCCTCTCTCTTCTCCTCCCTTTCATATTCTGCATGTGTGTCCTATATATTCCATTACCTCTCATTTTTCCCCTTAAATTTTCTTTCCTCTCTCTTTCTTATTTCTATTTTAGTTCTATGATCTAAACACATACACATTTATGCACAGAGAGACATATGCTTTCATACATACACATATACACATAGTTCTGAATTTAGGTTTTGTATATGAGAGAAAACGTGCAGCATTTATCTTTCTGGCTCTGCCTTATTTGACTTAACATAATGCTTTCCACTTCCCATGTTTTCCCCTATAATCTCATGATTTTGTAAATTCTATTATGTATATGAATCACATATTTTTATCTAGTCATCTGTTGATGGACACTTATGTTTGTTCCATTTCCTTGCTATTGTGAACAGTATAACAATAAATGAACAGTATACATGGGTGTGTATTGCAGCTCGAGTTGGGGGCATAAACCTGGGAAGCAGACCCTAAAAACTGAGGCAGACTAAAGTCTCATGCAATAGCCAACTTTATTCAGAGCATCAGACAATTTACAATCTGAAGGTATTCTGACAGTTGAAGGTCACATGAACAAAGGTCACATGAGTTTAAGTTGTATATATGGTCACAAGGAAAACCATGCTTGGAAACGTCTTTGAACTAACAAAAGTAAGATATTGAGTAATCTGAAATAAACCCACTCCTATTTACTATACCTGGGAGGAGCATGAAAGCACATTCCAAGAACAACCCATGCTATGAAGAAACAGAAGTTACAAAACGTTTGCCTTGTTTCCTTGGAGTTATCTCACAAGCTTTCAGAAATCTTCTCACGCAGCTTCATTCATGGACCATGTTCCAACAGGTATGCAATTATCTCTAAGTGAATAAACTAAAAAGAATTTTGCAAATAGGATATGGTAAATAAACCTACAGTTGCCAGATTCAAGACTCAAAACGTTAGACTTCATGCAAACTTCTCAGCAGAGAGAGAAAAAAACTATGAGCTATCACTTGTATCTATACTTAGTATTAAATAATGTTTCAAGCATAGAACCGTGGTAACATTTTATTATTTATTAACTTCTAGGTCTTTCACTAATCAGTAAACCTATAAATAGTCACCAAAAATGCATTCATGTGAGACAAATCTTTGCAACAGCATCACTCATAACAAATTAACAAATACTGTTTCTTTTCTTACAAACATGGACAAAACTACCTTGTGAAAGTATCCTGGTGATGAAATGGGAGTCTATGGAATATGAAACATTAAAAACATAATTCATTCCCTCTGTTATTCACCCCAAGCCATTTAATGCAACTTCTCTGCTTCCAGATAAATTCTTAGACAGACTCCATAGTTTGCCAGTCACTGTAGTATGATAAAAAATCTTCCCCAATTACTGGTCACTAGAACAACTACCAAAGAGAGCTGGAGATAGTGGCATACACCTTTCACCCCAGAATCTTGGGAGTCAGAGGCAGGCAGATCTCTGAGTTGGAGGCCAGCCTGGTCGAGAGGGGAGGTTGTTCAGAACATCCAGGACTACACAGAGAAACCCTATCTTGGAAACAAAACAACAGCAGCAGCAACAACAACAACAGCCAGCCTCCAAGGTGTCACCATCTGCTGCTATGGCTACCTTTTTCCAAGTTACAACCTCTTCCCTTTACCTTGCAACTGGCAGCCTGCTTTGTGGCAGAGATAGTGGAGTCACTGGGCCTTCTGACCTTTTCAGGACAAAGCCAAGTAACAGAATATAATGAAAAAAAAAAGGACATACTTACATAGCTATACATGGTCCTATTGTCATCTAGTAGTGATGGCAGCTGCATGAGTTTTCCAAAGCATCTTAATCTTATGAGAGAACTGTACCACTTCCCAGCTGAGGGGGCAGATCCAAATGGAACTTTATGACAGGAAAGATGTCTTGACACTCAGCCCTTAAAGCATTTGCCAAACCCCAAGTTTTACACTGGGTTGTCTCACCTATTTTAGACAGATTCCCTTCAAGATGGTTTCTAGCCAACTTATAACCAGGGATGGAGCCTTTCTACAGAAAAACAAACAATACCTTGACAGCTCTAGATCATTAAAATATATGCAACTTGCCTGCCTACTTCTTCTGCTGATAGCCATAGTCTTCTATTCTTAGGATTCCCAGGCAGGTGGCAGCCTCCTCAAATCCTAGGAGGTATTTCAAATAGCCTCTGGGTTCTCTAGGATGTCATCTGAAATGGCATCTCTGGTCTATGGTGTGTTTTAAGTTCTGATTATATTTCTCCTTCTGATAAAAACCCATATCATTTTCCTGAATCAACACAACTGACAAAAACAACTCATTATAAAAATACATTAGGATTTTATACATCCAGTTTCATGTCCATACAGATTTTCAAAATGTGACATTATTTGGAAACAAGATGTGTTCAAACACATCACATCACATCAGGGTCAGGATGAGATCATACAGAGCAAGAGTGGGTCATAAGGCTGAAGGCTGGTGCTTTTGTAAGATAGAAGGCATAGGGAGATGAATACACAGAGCAGATGGCACTGTAAAGACCTATGCAGACACTGCCCCCCACTTTCTCTCCCCCTCCACCTCATGACACGCGTGCATGCATACATGTGTGTGTATGTATGTGTATGTATGTGTGCTCACGTGTGCATATGGGTGTGCATGTGTGGAAGTTTGTGTGTGCATGAGTGCTTGCATGTGTGACTACAGTACTTGTAGTACTTAGTAGAAAGCATATTTTCTGAACTGGGGGGGTACAGCCTTATGGGTATTCTACTCAGATAGCATTTGAATAATTTTATAATGCATTTATCTTTGAAGAGAACCCTTCTTTGAATTTTATCAGTGATAGGATCCTTTATAACAAGTAGCTCTAGGACAGCAAATCCTCAACTCCAGATAAATGATATCCCTGAAACAAAAAATGAAAAGAAAATACAATGCAAGAAAAAAATCAAGTTTAGGGTTCATACAGAATGAACTTGTAATAGACTCTAATGTACACTCAGAAAAGTACACAAATATGTTTAGCTTGTGAATTTTCAAAAACTGAGCCAATCTGCATAAAACACATTCAGATTAAGAAACAGAACATCAGGAAGTGCCAGTGGTACTTAGGTTTTATTTCAGTTAGCACATTAGTCAGGAGCAATTGCTAGCCAAATAGATAGATGTTCAACCTCATTGATTGTTTGCTTGATTTACCCAAATACCTCCTCACACAGAGATAAACAGACAGACAGACAGACAGACACACACACACACACACACACACACAGAGGAGAGATAAACAGATGGATGGATAAATAGATAGACAGATAGATAGATAGATAGATAGATAGATAGATAGATAGATAGATAGATAGGCATAGAGATAGATTGCACAGTAACTTGTCTGTCTTTTTTTTATTCCGTTTACGGAACTTTTAATTTTTAAAAGTGATTATATTTTATTCTCATTGCGTATAAAAATCTATCATATGTTTATACTACTGAACTGTTATTCTTTTTTTGTCCTAACAAATTATCACAAATTTGGTAGCTTAAAGCAACATAATTTATTGAGTTATTGCTTCATAGTTCTGAATTTCAAAAGCCTAAAATGGGTCTAGCTCATTGTTTCTTCTGGAAGCTGCAGGGTCAATCATTGCTTGCCTTGCTCAGCTTCTGAAGGCTGCCATTTGCAGTGGTTCCAGATACCTTCCTTCATCTTCAGCACCGGAGGGACAGCAGCTCCTCTGTTCTCTGCCTCTGCTCACATGGACACATGTTCTACCTAATCCCTGGCACATCTGATCATATCAGGTTCATCTCTGTCTCTCAGAATAATCTCTCCATCAAAAACATCTTAATTTAGTCACAGCCAGCAGAGTCTCTATCACCATGAAAAATATTCAAAGATTCTGCAAGTTAGGACATGGACATCTGGGGAAGCCATTTTTTTTTTAGCCTACTGCAGCAATAATATATTTTCTATCTTATCATCTTGATAAGTATTTTGACAGTTTTCAATTTTATCAAATTCTATTTATTCTACTATGGCCATTATTTTTTATACATCTTTGAGTTTTTGCTGCTGGATATAGCGTATAATTGCTGCCCTATAGGATATAGACACCCATCCTTACAACATACTGAAAATGAGTTTCCAACTAACAAAAGCATGAGTGAACTGTGGCTCTACATCTTTGTTGATGCTTACTATTATCTCTGTACCTCCCTCTTTTTCTTTCTTCCATCTTCCCTGTTTTATGTAGGAACTGATATATTTTGTTCATGGATCTGTGTCTCTTTTGTAATACAATAAAATCTCTTGTCCTCCAAAGCTGAAGATTCCAAGGGCAGTTCCTGTTCTCAAAATGGATGCAGCATCTTCAAGTGCCATTCCACCTCAATATGACAGCCACTCAAAAAGCTATGGTTCCCAGCCTACCATCAACATACGCTATATTCCAAGGGAAGACTGCCCTGACTGGTGGCAAGTAAGAAAACTGAAAAGGTAAGGCTAAGCATTTAAGCTGACTACCTATAATATAGAATATAGAATGTAGAATATTTGTTGCCCCATAGCTTCAGACTACAGGCTCAAAGCTGGTAGTCCAGGCCTTAGCTGAACTAGGGTGGTCATCTCCAGAAACATTGAGTACTTGAACTAAAAGTGTAGGGAAGCCAAGTGGCCCCTCTGGAGCTGAGAGTATAGATTTCAACGATCCTATCTAAGGTTCCTCATGATAGTTTTAGCATTTTAGCCCTTCCCCTTCTCGCTCTCAATTCCTCCAAATAACTGCCTAATCCTAAGCATAGAATCTGTAAAAGGTCTCCCTTATGTAAAAGGGTGAGTTTACAGTAGCCTTACTTAGTTCATTCAGGTTTTCCACCAATGATGCTATCCAAACTCGGAATTGAAAGCACATTGAAAGGGAGTCTCTCTTTGGGGTTTGTTCCATATTTGATGCTCAATAGATATTTAACAGAATGGCAACCAGATCATGTAGGAAGGGTCAAGTGTTATCCCTTCCTTTTTTTGCTGCCTTAGACTTCAGCCCCACCATACTGTCCACGGCCTGTCATGCTTCCTTTCCAAGGGCTGTTGATGTCAGTCTCTACACAGAGTGAACTCAGAACATACCTCTGACACATCGTTTATCTCTTTTTATGTTGTTATTCCTTGACTCTTCTCACCCTCACTAGTTTTACTTAAAAGCAAATGTCTTACTGTACCAATGATTCAGCCACAGAGTCATGTGGAACCTGAAAGAACGTAAGTATGTACCATTGGATTTGAAATGTCTTTAAAAATAACAAATCATGGTCTTTCACTCTAGGGAACAACTAGTTTCCGAGTGCATTGTCTAGACCTGATTGCTGAGGGAAGGCTGCATTTATTTGTCTTTTGCCCCATGTGCTTATAGATCTGGGCTGGCAAGATGGCTGAATGCCTGAGTGTCGGATTCAAGCTATTGCATGTTGTTTCTCTCTGTCTGTCTGTCTGCCTCTCCTCTCTCTCTCTCTCCCTCTCTCCCTCTCTCTCTCTCTCTCTCTCTCTCTCTCTCTCTCTCTCTCTCACACACACACACACACACACACACACATACACACACATACACACACACACACACTGAATGTAAAAATAAAATACAAGGCTAAATAAATTGCTTTGCCTCAATGGAAGTTTTTTACAGAGGAGGAAGGCAAACATCTCTTCTAGGGATGGGGGAGGCTGGTAGAACAGGTGAAGAGGAGACATTTTAGAATCAAGGGCATTTAGAATTCTCTAGGCATATCTTAAAACAAAGCCAGAGGATCATTTCCTTGTCAAAGCAGCCTGTCCCTGTGAATTGTAGTTTAGGGGGGAAAAATTAAAAAGGCTGGGCTGTGAAGGCAATCAGGAAACAGGATCGAAATTCTAGACAAAGAAACCTTTGGACTTTAGGAAGAGGTAAACACGTCTTCATGCTCTTAAAATGATGGATTGCAGAGGCCTATGCTAATCTTGCTGCTTCATCTGTGTCTAGATGAGCTGTACAAAGTTCTTAGCTCCAATCACATCAACAGAGAGAAGAAAAATATACTTAGCAAATATGTAAAGGACAGAGTGTTGTGCATCCACAGGAGAGACAGAGCAGAGCTAGTCAGGCTGCCTCCTGATCTAAGTTTCCTGCTGCTGAAGTGATTTCGATCGTTACTAACAGGTCTCACTCATTCAAGAATATTACTTCTCTAAAAGGACCAAAATGTCAAATAAAGTCATATAGTTAAGACAGATCTGAAACAAATCACTTTCTTACTTAACATTCAATAATCATACATTTATGAATGTACTGTCAACCTCAACAAAACCACACAGTTGTCACCTCAAGGGGGTAAGAACGAGTTTATTCTGTATATGAGTGGCCATGTCCCAGGATCAAAAATTGAGGTCACCCCAAATTTCATGTTTTAATGAGATAGCAGTCTTATGAAGTTCTCATAGAAACAGAACAAAGCCATAAAGCAAAACATTTTTCAGTGGGTGAAAACATAGTGTGTGGGGTATAGCAAAGGGGGAGCGCCTGTGTTATAGACCTCAGCTGTTACCACATGACTATTTAGCTTTGGGGTTTGTAGAAGCTATTGGTTGTTAAGTCTCAAAGAAACCAGCAACAAATGGCTAACCAAGGTGTCCAAAGCAGGCGCCGACTAACTCTCTCAGCATTATTCAGTACCTATGGCCCTCCCAGAATTTTTCACCCCAACCCCTACCCTAGATGTCCACCTTCCAGAGAGAAGCTTTGGCTCTCTTTCCCCCAGCTACTTTATCTCCTATATAATACAGTCATTATGCCTACACCTTGGCCTGGGCTGCTTTGGTTGGTCTGCCCAATCCTGTCTTTCTTTCCCACTCCTTCCCTCCTCTCATGGTCTGGTTTAGTCTGTTGGCCATGTTCACCTTGGAGTCTTCTCTATGCCTGCTTTCTGCCTGGAGCCTACAATAAAAATCTTCTCCATGCTCTATGAGTAGTCAAGTCTTTTTATTTCATGTTTTCAGAGGTCTGTTAATACATTGCAGAGGTTTTACTGTCAGTCACAGATAATGTGTTTATAAAAATATAAAGATAAAGAGAATATGTTCTATGGGTGTGAGGTGAGGCATGGGGGAAAAGGATGTTTCACTGGGCCCATGCTGAGGCATCCCTTCCCCCTGAGGGACCAGCCACACAACAGTATAGTATAGAATAGAGTTTATTCATGGCATGGGAAGGGGAGTTAAGAGGGTAGTAGAGGCAGAGAGAGGCAGAGAGAGGGAGAGAAGAGACGTAGAGGCCAGCCATGAGCAAGTGGAGAGGGAGCAAGGGAAGGGGGAAGGGGCAAGGGGACAGAGGAATCAAGAGAGCAAGAGAGCAAGAGCAAGAGAGAGAGGAGGGGGCAAGCAGCCCCTTTATAGTGGGCCAAGCATACCTGGCTGTTGCCAGGTAACTGTGGGGAGGAGCATACCTGGCTGTTGCCACGTAACTGTGGGGGTGGAGTTTAGAATGCTAACGACAGGGATGATAGGCCATACAGAGAGGGACAAGGACTGGCTGACAAGAGAACTAAAGATAGCCTGAGATAGATAAAATGAAATTAGGTTCTGGACATGCAACATTTCAACGTCTCCACAATCGCTCATGTTCCAATCTGTTAGCCTTGTAGAAGGGCCAGTGGAAGGTATGACTGCTTTCCAGGAACTTCCATTTTCACCACACTAATCATATACCTTTACTTGTAGTGAGGAAGACTTTGCCCGCAGTAACCAATTGGAAAGAAATATTGTATCTCACAGCACCTCAAAGATGCCATGGTAAATCCAATTGAGATACTACTTTATACTCAAAGTTTACTTCTGCATACAGAAAAGACTAACCACATTTGAAATAAGTTTGCAGTGAGGCTTTATATGCAAGGTAACTATAGTCCAAAATGTCCATGTCATATGCCTCTGAATACATATGTGCTCTCACTGAGGTTTCCTTGGTTAAGGTTTTCCTCACACCAACTATATCTACTCTTTAGTTATGAAGTACTCTGGTACTATGATATGCTGCTTCAAGCAACTTTAACAAGAGAGAAAGCAACTCGAAATAAATGATTCCCTAAGAATAGCTCTGTGCACATCACCAACATTTAAAAAGTATTATTATTTTTTTTATTTTTATATGCATGAGTGTTTTGGTTGCATGTATGTAAGTGTACCACATATGTGTAGCGCCCACAGAGGCCAGAAGAGGGCATTGAATCCCTTGGAATTGGAGTTACAGCCGGTTGTGACATGCCAAGTGGGTGCTGAGAACTGAACCAAAGCTCTCTGCAAAAGCAGGAAGTGCTCTTCACCACGGAGCCATCTCTGAAGGCCCAGCATCAACTTTTTAAACTTCCTACGGTAGCCATCTTTGTAGGAATCTTCACGTGTTTCATAAGCTTGCTCTTCTGAAAGAGTCTAAACAACCTGGTTGAATTCCCAGGAGCCTGTCAGGTTGAAGAGGTGTTCTCTTCCTGCACTAGCCATAGATGTATCTTGCAAGTGATTGACTTTTTATTTTGCTGATACCTTTCCCAAGAGCAAAGGGGAAACTTAGAAGTCTTGATTTTGCGTATGTGGACACAATAACTTGGTATTGCTATACTAGGCAGTTGTATTGTTTCTTGCTTTCCTTGTTTGTTTGGGATTCATGCTGTTTCTCAACTCTTCTTAAGGGGATTCCCCGAGTCAAGTTCATCTGAAGAAGAGGAAAATCTGGATGCTTATGAGTGAGTGTTGAAAGTCTTGTATGTTTTTCTAAAACTAGAGTTAGGTATTTTTATTTGATTCCTTGAAGGCATTAAAACAGATGGCTAGACTCTCAGCAGGCTAGATTTACATGGGTAAATTCATGTGAGGCTCTGGACCATTTTTCTAAACGGTACATGGTAACGAGTTCAGTTGTTATCAGTGAGGATGTTTTCCCCAGTCTGGACCATCTAAGTCTGCTGCATATACTCAGGATTTATTAAGTGCTGAATGTTTTCATTTCATAGATAAGTAATATAATGGTTCTACTCATAAGTTAGTTGCTGGATCCCTCTAATCAAGGTAATGTTTGAAAGCTCTTACTAAGGCATGTGGAATGCTGCATTAACTTCACACAGCAGCACACTGAGCTATTAAACATAACAGCACTTAGGTCTATAGAGTCTTATTCATAGGATGACCTCAGTATTTGGTATTACTGTTGGGATCCTTGACAGAGAGAAAAGTTCCAATAGCCATCTGATACAAATTCGTCCGTTCTGGGAAAATAAGAATAAGTGGCCACTGAAACTGTCCTTGGGTGGGCCTAAAGTTATGGCCACTTTAAGGTTCTTTCCAAAATTCAGGGTTTCTGTCATTCTATAAATACTGACCTTATTGTTTCCTAGACTTAAAAATTTGTGATCATGAAAAATTATAATAGTATATCGTATTGTATGTTGCGTCACTCAACATTTAAAGGACTTTAGAAAGTTTTAGCATTCATATGTACATTGGGATTCCATTAGTTCTCTTTTTGAATGAGTGCTATTATTTGGTTTATTGGTTACATGTGAAGTGAGACCTTTTACAATAGACCTGTATGTTTCCTCTTCTCCTTTAATCTATAATCTATCACCAGATTCTAAGCATACCTGTCACATTAGGGAAGATGTGGTATAGCCTCTATTCTCTCGTGGTTCTGCTTCTTTTCTACATTCTAGTCTCCTATTATAGTTAACTTTAGCTATCAACTTGATGGAAACCTGGGAAGAGAGAACTTCAATTGTAGAATTGCCTTCATCAGAGTGGCCTATGAGTATGTCCATGGGGCATTTTCTTGATTCATAAGTGAAAGGGTCCTCACAGCTTCAAATTTTTTAAAACAGCAAGTGAACTCCCCAATCCTTGACTGCTTTAGCCCCAGTGAACTACAGAACAATATAGAAGCTCTAATGACTCCCTGGTCAATGGCAAGAATCGCACTAAAGATTTAGTGTCCTGATGGCTCTCTACTATGTTAAGTGGTCAAAATAAAATGATCAGGATTTTAAACTTTTCCAGCCACTTCATGTCATTGACATTTGCTATCTAGAGTGAACATCTGTTCTTTCCACTTGCTGCTAATTACAGTGTTTAGGGATGAGGCCCATAACTCATCCTATGTGACTGTGAATGGTGTCAGCACAGTACATGAGACCAGGATCTAGTCAAGAGCACAATGGACGGAGCAGGGGCATATGACCCAGAAAAGACCAGAGTCCTTCAGTAGGGTGTGATTTGTGGGCCCATACTCTCCTGTTTTGGAGCTCAGATCTTGAGGCTGTAGACTGTGGCTGATATCACCCCTTTATGAGGAGAGGACTTGCCTAAAATTGAAACCAAGAAACAGAAACAAGAGTTGGAGGAGTCTAACAACAGGTTCTGCATTGCTAACTGTGCCATCTCATTGTGGCTTCCCGGATGCATATACTGTGTAATCCGATCAAAGAGTCATCCTTGAACATAATCTCCCCATTAGGCAATTCCCAAAACACAGTAAGTTCTTAGCCCATAGTTGTTCAGTCCCATGGATCTTCTATAAATGATTTCAAATAGCAGAATCATTCAGAAACAGCACTGATCCATTTTCTCTGGTGTCCTTGGGAGGGAACACTTGGCCCAGAGGTCAAACAGATGCAGCAAACTGTGCTTCCTATTTTGGCTCTTTTCTGTTAAGGACCAGAGAAAATCCTGGGTGATTTTCATCTTGCTTTCAACATAGTGTTATCAATATCCCTTTCTTCCTCTGAATCTTGATCTGGCATCCAACACTGATCTTTTACACTAAAAAAAAAAAAAAATGAATACTGCAAAGCTCTGCAGTAGCCTTCCTTCAAACACTTCTGTGGGGATTTTCCTTTATGGAATACACAGGCCAACTACAGCAGACACAGGGCCTCCTTCATGCCTGTGCACATGCCACCCTCCAGATTGTCCTTATAATACCAGGCCATGGGTAGCCCCGCTGCCCTCACCATTCCAGATCATGGTCTTCAGTCCATTTATTTATTTTTAAAACAAAAAATCCTACCTGACTTTCCCATATATCTTTGCCTCCTGACTGGATATCATCTTAGATGTTTACCTCTTCCTGTTTTGAAGAAATAATTAAAAAGCATTTTCTTTGAGACTAGTTGATATAAAATGTGCTTCTATTGAGTTATTAAAATAAATGATTGGGTTGAAAGACAAAAGTGTTTATCCTTGGCTACCCTGGCTTTCCCATCCTTCCCTACCCTGGCTTTCCCATCACAATCATCGGGGATCTAATCTCTGGTCCTTGTTCAAAACAGTGAAATGTAGACTAGTTTAGAAGTCACCTTGACAGACTCTAGCAGCCTACTCATAATTTGATATTACCTAGACCTCACTCCAGAAGTAAAATTGGGAGATAGAGACTAGGAATTCGAGTCTTGAAAAATAGCGTCAGGTAATACTGTCCAATAATTAGGTTTGAAAATCCATATTATAGGCCTATGCCTCATTTTACAGACTCAAAAGTTGATGGACAAGTTGTATAATTTAAAAATGATTAATTCTCAAATCCAGAATTCTTTTACAGCTGGTTTGCTGGGAATATCTCCAGGTCACAGTCTGAGCAGCTACTGAGACAAAAGGTAAATTATAACGTTTTCCTCTACTCACCTCAACGTGTGTGTGTGTGTGTGTGTGTGTGTGTGTGTGTGTGTGTTTACATGTTAAGCATTCATTCCTACAGCTAGATTACATTTGTATCCCAAGAATATCTGTCTCTGGCTAGTCCCAGGATGAATGCATTTCTCTGAGAAACATTTTTGCTAATGTTTCAACTCACCATGGTATTGGCCTATGGATTACTAGCATCTCCTATTGCCTAACTCTACCTGTGTAATGCATCACCTCAAGCTGTAGGAGCCACTCTGGTTACCAAGAGGCTTGCTGTCTCTTTGCCATATACTCAACAAGCTTTTATTTGAAAATAAATAAACTACCCCAAAACTTAGTGGCCAGAAACAAGATTTGTATTTCTCACAATTCTGTAAGTCAGCTCATTCACGCTAATGTTTTGCTGATGAGTTACTGGGGGTCAACTGGGGTGCCACAGTTCTTCCTTGTATGGCCTCTCCAAGCATCTGATTTGGGCCCTCATTATAGAACAGAAACCATTCAAAGAGGACAAGCTCAGCAGTGCAAGTACTTAGGGACCCTCTGCTTTAGCAGCATTGGCTAGTGTCCCATTGCAAGTCATATGTCGGAGTCCAGAGTCAAGGCAGGAGGAGATAGCACAGAATCATAAATAGGAGAGATGATCCCATTTTTTTCGGGGCTGGAGATGGAACCTATATGACAGTGTATGCTAGGCGTGCCTCCCTAGTTATTTTTCTACTGCTATGAAGAGATACCATGACCAAGGCAACCTATATAAGAAAGAATGCATTTCGAAGGGTTAATCCATGACCAGTCTTGGTGGAGAACATGATATCAGGGAAGCAAGCATGGTGCTGGAGCAGCAGCTGAAAACTTACATGTTGAGGCAACAACCTTGAGACACAGAGAGCCAACTGGAATGGTGTGGGCTTTTGAAATTTCAAACCCCACACCCAGTAACACAGCTCCAACCATGGACACACCTCCTAATCCTTCCCAAACAGTCCACCAACCAGGGACCAAGCATTCAAACATATGAGCATGTGGAGGCCATTCTCATTCAAAACAACACACTGCGCTATATACGCTTGGCCCAAGAAAAATAACTTGATGTGAGTTATCAATAGAATTATTTTTCTCATCTAGATTTCACTGCTCATTAGCACCTAAACCAGAGCACAGAAGATGTGATATGGAATTAATTTACTTAATTTTATTGCTAATTGATATGAACTTACCTATACCTTTTGATCTATTAAAATGGTACTTTACTACAATTCAGTCTAATAAAACACTAAACACACAAATTATGTTTCAAGATGTGCTCAACAGAATGTGATAGACTCACTTGGCAAGCTGTTATATCCATAGTTTAGTGTGCTTTTTCTGAATCTTGCTCTGGTTACAAATTGGCATAAATCACTGAGAAAGATAAACACCTCCACTTTAACAAAGTGTTTATTCTTCATTTTTAGTTTTCTCAAACATTTTCAGAATATGATATAGTGTTATATCATATATATTTGTGATATACAGCAATTTTATATATAGAGAGAGAATATATAATATACATAATAGATATTATAGAATATACATTACATTATATATAATATACACAATATATATTATATATATAATGTACATTATATATAATATAGATAATATATATTATATATATGAATACCTAAATAGGGAAAAATTAAACTTTCATAATTATAAAACTGAAATATTTTTTAGAAAGTTGCAAATTACCTACGAAAAAAGAGTTCACACAGGATGGATCTATAAAGATATTGACTTGAGTGAGGATAAAACTCAAAGGTAAAGCCCTTGCTTAGTAAAGATCAGGCCCTGGCTTCCATCCCCAGAACTCAAAGAGAAAAACAGAAGGAAGGGAGAGGGAGAGGAGGAAAGGAACTGAGTGAGAAATGGAAGAAAGCTAAGCTGTAGGACACCTATGTGCTAACTGTTGGGTAACCTGTCCCTTTGTTGATATTTAAAGTGCATCTAAAAATATTTTTGCTTACTACCTATATAAAAATCATTTTCAAAAATAATGACCATTATTCCTCCTTTTCAGGGAAAAGAAGGAGCATTTATGGTTAGAAATTCCAGCCAGATGGGAATGTACACAGTGTCCTTATTTAGTAAGGCTGTAAAGTAAGTAAAATGTAGACTTATTTGCTTTTTCCTCTTGTGACCGTTGTTTGAAAACAATGATCATTTATATTCTATATTTTGAGCTGAGACATCACTCTTGAACTCTGGAATTTGGGATCAAAGTATTTGTGTTGAATATGGCCATTAGCCATTGCCTTCCTATCCTCTACTTACAAAAAGTTATGCTCTGGGTGACCTTCTCCTGTCCACTCCAGACAAGGCAGAGTGCTGTGAGCACAGCACACCTCCATAAACATTCATTGAAACAACAGTGTGGGTTCCTTGGAGTCAACCCTAAGCATAGAAAGAGAAACATAAAAATAGCGATAGCACTTCCAAACTCACAACCCAACCTGCCTGCTGAGCAGAAAAAGCTTGCCCCAGTGACCACCTCTCAGTGAGCCTTTCCTGGGGGGTTAAATCAAGGTATCTGTGTTTTCTGAGTATTCTTCATCAGCCTGCCTGCCTGTCTGTCTGTCTGTCTGTCTGCTGGCCTTTGCAGGTAAGAGTTCTAGTTTAAAGTCAAACTTCTCTTCCCATTTCAGGCCTTTATTATATTGAACATGTTTCTTACCCTGTTGTGGGCCCGAACGTCCTCATTGCAAAGGGATGTATAATAATGATTTTTAATGTATTCAAAACAACAAGGTGTTGTAAAAAAAAATAGCAATGGTTACTGCAAATTAGGCCTGTGACCAATTACACACAATTAAAATTACTTCTCGCATTCACATCAGTAGTACTTGTTGAAAGATTGTGTGTCCATCCAATAGGGAGCCACTGAATTTAAATTCACCAAGCTAACAACAGCTTTGAGGTGGCCAAATGTCAACTAAAAGCCATAATTAAAGTGCTGCAATCCTGTACTACTTAGTATCTGTAGTTCAATGAATTTGGATTGCCATGCAAGGGCTTGCGTTATAATTACTAGCCACTTGGATGTGTTTTGTCTAATGTTTTTTCAACAGTTTTTTGTTTTAATGGTTTTTAATGTTTTTTGTCTAATGTTTTTTAATGTTGTTTAGTGAATAAATCGAGATTTACCTCTTTTTTTAATGATTTTTCTGTTCTATGAATGAAATCACTTAATCCACGTATTAGATTAGGATCCTGTCTGGCATACAGTAACACCAAATGAAGGAGCGATTATTGTTAATGGTACTGTTTTTAATAATAAGTAGTTCCATCTACTCTTGAATGCCTGACCCTTGGGTGTGTAAGACTTCCCAGTGTCAGCCATCATCATCAGGAGCCCCCTCCAGAAGTTGATTTCCTTGAGACAGAGCCTCACAACTCTTGAGCCTTTGTGTTCCCAGTGCTGTGTTTACAGGCATGCACCATCCAGAAATTTATAAGTCACTTCCCATGGACTAGTACCTCTTGTATTCCTTGTAAAGCCCCTCCAAAGTAAATAGGACCCTTTACAGATGAGGAGATTGGGGTTCAAAGAGCACTTTTAAAGTCTAGCCCATGAGGCAGAATAAGTGAGCAATCTGACGCTAAGCTACCAAATAATCAAATAACCAAGTCATATTTTTTTTGTCCATACTCTGAAACCCTCAGAGTTTTGGGGATGGGGGTGAACTGACACCGAATTAATATGGACCATTTGAAAGAAATATTTTTTAACAGCTAGATTGAATGACTTGTGTAGATATGTGCCCCACCATACACAGCATGCCTGTTTGTAATAATTAGATGATAAAGATATTTTATTTCGAGATTTGTTTTTTACAGAATACCTACTTCCAATTTGAAATAACAGAGTGTATCTTGAATGACCATATAGCATTTGCCAATACCAGAATCCATGCCTCTAATAAGCACATATACTAGATTTTACATGGTCATTGGCTGAAACAAATCTAACTAGAGAACATGCTGTTGACTAAGCATCAAAATTATGGCACTCTGAATACAGCCAAATGAAATATTAGATGTTCCCCTCTTTAAACTTTATCAGCCCAGATTCATTTTTTAAGTTGATCCAGTATAAAATTATTAAACAAATAAGAAATTAAATGAAAGCAATATCCCTTTTTAAATAGTTTTGAGGTTATAATTTAATTACATTTCTCCCTTGCTTTTCTTCCTTCCAGACCCTCCCATATACTGGTCCCCAGTCTCCTCAAATTCATGGTCTCTTTCTTCAGCAATTGTTATTGCATGCATATATGTATGCATATATAGTCCTAAATATCATTTGTTGAGCTTAGTCAGGATTACTATTGCCGAAACAAAATGCCATGGCCAAAAAGCATCTTGGGGAGAAATTGGGTTCACTATTGAAGGAAATCAGGGCAGGAACTCAAACAGGGCAGGATCCAGGAGGCAGGAGCTGATGCAGAGACCATGGAGGGGTGATGCTTACTGGCTTGCTCACTGTGGCTTGCTCAGCCAGCTCTCTTATAGAACCCAAGACCACCATTCCAGAGACGGCACTACCCAGAATGGGCTGGCCTCATACCTATTCACCACTAATTGAGAAAATATCTTACAGCTGGATCCCATGGAGGCATTTCCTCAACAGAGACTCCTTTCTCTCTGATGACTCTAGTTTGTGTTGACACAAAAACCAGCCAATACAGCCCTGACATCCTTGTATGTTCCTTGTATGTATGTTTCCAGGGCCAAACGTTAGGCATTAGACAACCAATTGGTGTGCTCTTCTTGGGGGAGGACCAGCTTTCTTGCTCTCAGCTTTCCTTGGTTGCCTGGAGTTCTTTGTGTAGGGCTGAAGCCTCATGGGCTTTTCCCCATCCAGTCTGGCATGTTCACTGGTGTCATTCTTGTCCAGCTCACACTTGGCAGTCATGTTTGTGAGACTTCATGAGTATATCTTCTGATCTTATCAGGAGACACAATCTTACAGCAAACTCCCTGATCCTCTGGCTCTTACAATTCTCCCATTCCCCCTTCCACAATGTTCCCTGAGCCTTATCTTAAGGTAAAGGAATTTTTATAGAAATGTCCATTGAAATTTGGAAAGCAAAACCCTTTAATGAAACGTCATCAACTCATACTGACACCACCAGCAAATCAGCCATCTGCAACACAGAGAAATGCCCTTTCTCCTCCTGTGGCATTGTTCTTGCATGGCAAGTATTATGTGTCTATGTGTGTGTGAGCACACACACACACATGCCCCACACAACCTCATCCAATCTTTATAAAAACCAGAGGAGGAAGCCAGTGAGTGGTAGAACTGAACTGAACTCTACAATCTAAGACAGGTTTGTTATTCCTGATTAACCTTAATTATTGTACATAAACTCATCACAATATTGTCAAACTGGAAGAAAAGAAATGTTTTTCTTTTTGTGAGGGAAGGTTTGTTTGTTTGTTTGTTTGTTTTTGTTTGTTTGTTTGTTGAGACAAGGTTTCTCTGTGTGATCCTGGCTGTCCTGGAACTCACTCTGTAGACCAGGGTGGGCCCAAACTCAGAGATCCACCTGTCTCTGCCTCTCAAGTGCTGGAATTAAAGGTGAACACTACAACTGCCTGACCCAGAAGAAAGTGTTTTATGTGGAAAGTATATGCAATGCACTCATTGGATCATAGCATGGTTGACACATAGAAAATGCCTGCTAAACTGATGGTAAGAACTAGTATTGCTGCTGCTTGGAAAGAGGAGGAGGTCTAGATATTTAAGTACGCCATGATCCTCATGCTTTTCTTCCTGCATGCTCCATTCCCAAAGGAACTCTAGAGTAAGAATACACACAACCTAATCACTTTTGCCTACACAATTTGCTCCCAAATATTATCTTAAAGGACAATTTATGTTCTCACATGATCCTAAAGAACATCAAGGCTCGTACTCATCAAAGACAGATCCTGTAGATTCTCTTTGTATATATTCTAAGGGAGGAACAGTACATGAAATTAATTCCCCCCAAACTATTATTATTTATTAACTGTTCTTGGGGGCACTCATGTGTGGAGGTCAGAGAACAGTTTGTGGAAGTCAATTCTGTCTTTCCAGCATGTATTTCATGGAAACTGAACTCAGACTGTCATAGTTGACTGCAGGAACAATTACTGGCTGAGCCGCGTGGTTAGCACCTCAAGTTGAAATTTATTGTGCATGAATTTTGTATAACCACATAGGACACACTGAGTTCAGAGAAGATCGTTCTTCCATAATTATTGATTGTCATGGATGCTTTCAGAGAAACACCAGATGTCAAGTTTGACTAACCATCCCTGTCTTCCTATTCTTCAATTTGTAAATAGATTCAAAATAATTATCCACTCATTATTTCATCAAAATTTTGTTGTGTGTTTAAAACTTCCTAACATTGTCTTTCTTCCTTACTAGTGATAAAAAGGGAACTGTCAAGCATTACCACGTGCATACCAATGCTGAAAATAGATTATACCTGGCCGAAAACTACTGCTTTGATTCCATTCCAAAGCTCATTCACTATCACCAACATAATTCAGCAGGTAGCTTATTTCTTTTTTTTTTTCCTTTTATGGGATGGGCCCTCACATATAAATGTCAGCTTTCTTGGATACCACTGACCCTGTTAATATTCTTGATTAATAGGATACCAAGAAATGAGGGAAAATGCTATCAATTTCTGTCTGTTATGATTTGTAGCTCACACCTCCTCAAATATAATATAATACACTCTATAAAACCAGAAGGAATAAGGTTGATTGAGTTGAGCGGCTTAAGAGAAAAGTTCTTTTTCTTTAGATTTTATCTATATTTTAAAAAGTGTGTGTGTGTGTGTGTGTGTGTGTGTGTGTGTCTTGTGGGCATGAATGCAGTACCCACAGAGGCCAGGAGGAGAGGGCATCATATCCTCGAGAGCTGCAGTTACAGATGATTGAGAGCCACCTAGTGTGGGTGCTGGGAACCAAGCTCAGGTCCGCTGAAAGAGCAGTACAGTGCTCTTAACCACTAAACCATTTCTTCAGGCCTACAAGGAAAATTGTCTTAATAAAACTTTATTTCTAGAGTTTTTTTTCCTAGACCATAAAAGCAAGTTGATTATAAAATTCACATATTAGAAAAATGAGCATCATTGGATTGGTAACTTCTCAGTACAGGATAGTGTCAATCATGAGATCTTTTTGTATATGGATGATAATATTTGTTGTGAATTACATATTCATAAACATTACACTTTACAGAGATGAAATCATTATTAATATACTATTCCATTTCTCTTCCTACTAACCCTAACTCAGAGGACTTTCCATGCAGTTATTCATGGCTTACCTTATTCTCTTCAACGGCTATGTATAATTCTAGTACATTTTGTAGTAACCCCCTGTTGGTTAGCAATGGATCATGTGTGATATTTTTATATTTTAATGAATAGTTTATTGCACAGCACCGCACATATAGCTGTGTACATTTGCTTGAATGATTCTATTCCTAGTTTTACAAAGGCTATGAGCATTTAAAAATGTGAAGTTGTCAAATGGTTTGCAGAAGTGTACAATCCTACTAGTAACAATTTTTTTATATTAGATATGAGCTACTGTTTGCTCTTAAAATATTGCCTAGGTGATGAGTACCCCTATTTTCAGTAATAAGTTTCTATGGGAGAGTAGTATATGTTGTGCACATGTGTGTGTGTGTATGTGCATGTACATATGTACATATATGTGTGTAAAGGCTTGAAGTATGTGGTAGTTAGATTGAAAATGGCCCCACAGGCTCATATTTTGAATGTGTACTTATTAGGAAATGGCACTATTTGAAAGAATTCGAAGGATTAGGAGGTGTGGCCTTGTTGGAGGAAGCTTATTACTGGCCGGTGGGCTTAGAGGTTTCAAAAGCCTATACAAAGGCCTAGGTTCTCTCTCTCTCTCTCTCTCTCTCTCTCTCTCTCTCTCTCTCTCTCTCTCTCTCTCTCCCCCTCCCCCCATGGAGCAGGATGTATGTCGCTCTCGGCTACTGCACCAGCACCTTCCTTCATGTCATCATGCTTCTCACCATGATGATAATGGGCTAAACTTCTGAAACTGTAGGCCAGCTCCAATTAAATGTTTTCTTTTATAAGAGTTACCATGACAGGATCTCATCACAGCAATATAACAGTGACTAAGACAAGGTCAATATTGGGTGCCTTCCTCAGTCACTCTTCACCTTATTTTTTTGACACAGCATGTCTCACTGAACTTGGAGCTTAATGAGTTGGTTAGTCATCAGTCTCCAGGGATTTGTCTGCCCCTGCCTTCTCAGTGCTAGCATTAAAGATGTGCACCACAGTGCCAGATTTTTACATAGGTACTGGGAATTCGAACTCATATCCTTATGCTTCTGCTTCAAGCTCTTTACTAACTGTGCCAGTACTAATTGTACTAACTGTCCAAGGTCTATAACAGTATTCATGACAGGAAGTGACTTGGTGAATTTCCAACAGTGAATGAAAATAAGCCATGGGCTCTGAGTTTAAGCAGTGCTACTGTGTCTGACTTGATTTCAATTCCGTTTTGGTTCTTGTTTGTATTTTTTTCTCAAATGTCTTCAATTGTTTACCTTAACAAACAGCATCTCTTGGGAATCTCTTGGCAAACAGTTATCTCTCAATAAATAATTTCACCTTAGAGGATACACAGGATATAAAAAAATATTAAAATGTTGATTTGCCATTGTGTTTTCATTAAATCTTCAGTTTATTGCTGTATTTTATGATTCACAAAATGATTATTATAGCAGCAGTTGCACATATACATATTTCAAAGGAAAGCATTAATTTCTAATTCACTTTTAATTAAAATATTTTATCACAAAGACAATACATTTCTAATAGAAACCATAAGATACAAAATACTTTTAAAATAATCAGAATTTCTCATATATATGTATATTTATATATGCATAAACATACACATTTCTATATAGGCATTCATATGCTTTGCAAAATAAAAACTTATTATGCATGCTGGTATTTATTTCTGCTGATTAAAGGTGTGGTATTGAAAACATTTGAAGAACACTCTTAAACAGAAACAAATACCTAAATAGGGTGGAAGGGAAAACACACGAGTGGTAAAAACCATCCTATGCTTAAAGCAATAATCATTTACTCTTTTGAGTGGCTTCTTTCAAGACACTATCTGCATGATTATTTTAAATCAACTTTACCATAGATACATGTAAATAAAAATGGCTCAAGCATTTAACATAAATGGGAAATAGATTTAATTTTAAGACTGCTTGTTTTATATGTAAATATATATGTTTATTATATGAGATTTTTCAGATTTATGTGCTATTAAAATGCATATGTAAATGTAGGACCAACAAAAAGATAGCAAAATATGAATGAGAAAACAATGTTATGTAAAAGATTCCATCTAGCACCTAGTCCCTGTGGAATTTCACTCAAAGTAACTGGCTCTTTTAGATTTTGCTTTGCATTAGGTGAATGTGTTGGCTCAAGCCACTGGATACAAGGACTGGATGAATGTACTCACCTTGACTCTCTTTCTGTATCACAACATCCCACGCCCCATGTTTCCAGCTTACTAGGAGAGTTCGAAGTGATTCTATGTAACATATGATGATAATGTGATAATATGTTGCTGATTCCATTGCAGGCATGATCACACGGCTCCGCCACCCAGTGTCAACCAAGACCAACAAGGTCCCAGTGTCTGTGGCTTTGGGAAGTGGTATGGACACACCCCTGGGCTCTTAAACTCCATTTCTCACCATTTGGGTTCAAACATATATGATTACCTAACTGACACACGGTAGATGGCAGAAAGGAAGTCCCTGTTGAGACTGCACCGGGGAGCTATTTAGCCTAATTTGTATCATTCATTTTTAAAAAATCATCTGTCTACATCTAACTCTGTAATCTCCCCAGAGTTAGCAAAACAACAGCTTATTCTTACCAGCCATTGCCATTTGTGTCCAGCACCCCTTACCTGACCTTTCTTTGTCCTGGATTCTACGCCTCCTCCCATTTGATGCCAGTCTTCAACTCTGTGTCTTTAGAGTAATAACATCCACCTTGATGACAGCTTAATTTGTTTTATACAAAAAAAAAATCTAACAATGTTTTACCAACCTAAGAGCATTAAGCACATTTTAACTATCTCTAAGACGCTCTCAGTGTGTGTGTGTGTGTTGAGGCGGAGGACTTCATTTTTACTTTCTGTGTCAAAAAGTGCAGCTGCATTGAGAACATCATTTTCCTGTGATATGGTCATGAAATCAGTTCACTGAGAATTTTTTAAATTATTAACTTAAAATGATGTTTTACTGTTCTTCATTTTGTGGATACACAAATTTGATCACTGAAGAAATCACTTTGATAGTTGTTGACACATCTTCTAAGGTACCTGCCTTGCTTCATTAGGAATTTGGGAACTGAAAAGAGAAGAGATTACCTTGTTGAAGGAGCTGGGCAGTGGTCAGTTTGGAGTGGTCCAGCTGGGCAAGTGGAAGGGGCAGTACGATGTGGCTGTAAAGATGATCAAGGAGGGTTCCATGTCAGAAGATGAATTCTTTCAGGAGGCCCAGACCATGATGTAAGTTTCTCCCCAGGAATGACAATGTGAAATCTCCATAGAAGAACATTAAGATTAGCAGTCCCTGTCCCTAACATTTGCAAAGCCTGGCATATGTTGTACATTTAATATTTAGGAGTTATATGCTTAACACCTTGAAAGCCCATGTTTGAATTTAGAATATTTCTGACTCTATTGAGAAAATAGCCCATGGCCTCTGTGCCTTTAGACTCTCTACCCTTACTCTTTCTCCTGCTCACAACCTTAGTAGTTACAAGTAGATACAGCACTCAGTATATCCAGTTCCCTTCACATCTCCCACATGCAGGCCAACTTGTCAAATTAGGAGCATAACTGTTTTATTTAACATCTCTGTAGGCCAAAATATAACATTGATTTTATTTAACAATTAGGCCAAAATATAACTCCTAACCAATTAACCAATGGTATTTGTTAAGAGTAGCATGGCTCACATGTGAAGGAACAGACTCAAGTATGGTCTTCAGAAGTACTTCAGAAGTGGGCAAGCCCTTCATCCTTAGAAACATTTCTATCCCAGGTAGAACAGAGTGGCTGGTCACTTTTTTAGAAAACTAATCAGGGAGAATTAGAAAGTGTTACAGCAGGGCCTTGGTCAGGAGATGCTCAGTCAGCAAAGTTCTGGCTGTGCAAGTGTGAGTTCATCCTTTGAGCCCATGTAAAAAAATATGTGTAGTCCCAGAACTGAGGAGAAAGAGGAGAAGGAAGAGCAAGAGGAGAAGGAGCAAGAGGAGAAGGAAGAAGAGAAGAAGAAGGAGACAGGAGAGGAGATAGAAGAAGCAGAGGAAGAAGAGGAAGAGCAGGAGGAGGAGGAAGAGAAGGGGAGGAGGAGACAGGGGAGAAGGAAGTGAAGGAAGAGGTGGTGGAGGAGGCAGCAGGTGGATCTTTGGAGTTCACTGTTCAGTCAACCTTATCTAATAGATACCTCTAAGGTGCCAATGAAAGACCCTGTCTTAAAAAAAACAAGGTAAATGACTCCTGAGGAGTAACAGCCAAGGTTGACTTCTCTCCTCCACTACACACACATATACAAAATACTTGAAATCTGCAGATCCTAACCTACTTCTTTTACTGTGATAAAGACCATAACCAAAAGCAACTTGGGGAGGAAAGTGTTTATTTGGCTTACATATCTACATCTATTGAAAGAACTGTTCAACAGTTTGCTGAGACATCTTTAGAAGCGAATACTCCAGTGTCCATTTCCTTGGTAACTCCTTTTAAACATCAAAGGAGACAGGGAAGTTGCAATAAGCCCCTCTACTGTAACTGGAGGATTGTTCAAAAGTAGAGGTACTATATGAATATAGGCCTTTGTCCAAGGACCTCAGCAAGGACCTCCAGGACTTGTTTTAGTGCTCTGCTTTCACTGTTGCAAAATAATACAAATCTTTGGGTTTGTGTTTTTGAGACAGGCTCACTTTGTAGCCCAGAGTGGCTTGAAAGTTCCTGTATAACCCAACTTAGCCTTAAAATGACAGCAAAGACCCCACCTCACCCTCCTAAGTGCCCAGAATACAGTCATGAGTGTAACTCAAATTAAGTTGTAAACAATCATTTTATCCCATTCTCATTTTTTTCAAGGAACCTGCAAATTACAAAGATAGTTCTATCCTAGGTAACTAGACTGTTATAGAAGACTAAAGAAGGCCCCGTTCATAGAACATAAAATTTAAAAAAAACAAAAACTTTCTTAGTATATGATATAGCCAGTGTCTCCTGGTGAAATATTAAAGTGTATTTTGCCATTAAAGTGCATTATAAATAATCTGTAAAATTAATCCAAGCTCTGGGGAGGTGGAGACAATAGCACCCCTGGGGCTCACTGGACAGACAGGGTATGCTGCTGGGCAAGCTTGGGACCAGTGAAAGACCATGCCTCAAGGGAGATTGGTGGCCTTTCTGAAGGTGACACTTGAGGTTGTCCTCTGGGTACATTCATGACTGTGTGCATGCACGAGTGCGTGCTCATGCACGCGCACACATCCACACACAAACACACACACACAAACATACACATACATATGAGCACTTTTTTAAATCAAAAAAGGAAAGAGAACAAAAGAAGATATTAAAAAAAAGATTATATGTAGTTTCACTTCCCCAAGCAGCAACTCTTTTGATGTTGCATACACCCTTCAAATTAGTATATTTTGTCTACACATAACACTATCTTGATTCTTGGGAGAAAAGGTGAATGCAGTATTCCAGACTGAGAGCATTGCTGAGTGGCTGTCAGATTGACCAGTCTCAGATCTGAGACCAAGCCCTGTTTTGCTTTGTTTGTTTGTTTGTTGTTTTGTTTTGTTTTTTTTTTGTGCCTCCAAATATTATTGTTTCCCAAAACAAGATCCAAAGCTCCCTGCTCTCTTTCTCTATTCTGGCTTGGGCCATCTAGAAAATGAACTTTTCATATTCATTCTTTTTCAGGAAACTCAGCCATCCCAAGCTGGTGAAATTCTATGGAATATGCTCAAAGAAATACCCCATCTATATAGTAACTGAGTATATAACGAATGGTTGCCTGCTTAATTACCTGAAGAGTCATGGAAAAGGACTAGAAAGCTCCCAGCTCTTAGAAATGTGCTATGATGTCTGTGAAGGCATGGCCTTCTTGGAGAGCCATCAGTTCATACATCGGGATTTGGTAAGCTTGATGAGAGGCGAGAAGAACATAGCCCACCATTCCTTCCTCCAGGGATAGGGCTGCTGGGAAGTTTGACAAAGGCCTTCACTTTACTTCCCATATTTGTGACTCCTGTGAGCATGTGATGGATTTACAATAAAAAGATCACAATCGTAGACTAAAGTATTTGAAAGACGGAGAGAACCATCAGAGTAAAATAAGTTATGAGGATCTCCATAGCTAGCTGTGCTGTGGTGTGAAGAGCAGATGGAAAGACTTGGGCCAATTCCGTGTTTCTCAAAACCGCTGAACTGAAATTGACCTTTACTCTGAGAGCTTAGTGGGAAAGCAGTGACTTGATGCAATAACTAAAAATGCAATGAGGGATGAAGGGAGAGAGAGGGGGTGGGGCAGGGGGCAGAAAGAAAGTATGTGTTTGAGTTAGAGTGGAATTTCTAAGTACTGTTTGTTTGGCACTCACTGGCCTTTGGCTTTTAGAGACCTCCTTATGCTGAATAGCAAGCACACTGCACACACCAGGCATTGCATCCCATAAGCCTTGGTTGCAGCATGCATGACTTCCAAGCATCTGTGAATGCACAGGATCTTGTGGATGTCCTCGATAAGCTGAGATTCTGCATTCAAGTATATTTTCAAGACATTCAGATGCTTGGGTGAACATATTTATGCAAGCATGTTTCCATTTTGAAAGAAAAGGAAAATTACAAGAGATTAAAAAAAATTAAAAGCCCACTTCAGATCAAACAGGATTGTGATAGACTCTGTTGGATTTTGCTGAGACTGAAGCTGAGGGAAGGAAAATGTCTGAATCTAATATCACTAGGTTCTTGGTTGCTTTTACTATGTGGAGATTTTGCTTTCCCGTTGAAGGCTGCTCGGAACTGTTTGGTGGACAGTGATCTCTCTGTGAAAGTCTCAGATTTCGGAATGACGAGGTAAGTCAGTAATCTCCTCAGACAGCTTTTCTTTCTGGTGTCCCCACCTGTAACATCAATGACTTCTAACGCACTGAGCTATAGCGTTTCCATCAGTTGTAGTCAAGAGTTTGATTTCAAGCTGAGTGATGGGCTCAGTTGGTCTAGTGCTTGCTGAACAAGCTCAGGTTTGGTTTTGGATTCCCAGCACCCACATCACATCCAGGTACTGTGGTATGTCCCTAACCCCAGCAACTTTAGGGCAGAGATGAAAGGACCAGCCATTCTAGCCAATCAGCAAGCTCCAGGTTTAATGAGCGACCCTATTTCAAAAATTAACTTGGAAAGGCTAGAGAGATGATTCAGCAGTTAAGGACTGCTTTTTTAGAGGACTGGAGTTGGATTCCCAGAATCTGTGTCAAGTGACTCACAACTTCCTGTAACTCCAGCTCCAAGAGATCCAACACCCTCTTCTGTCCTCTTTGAGCACACACACACACACACACACACACAGAGAGAGAGAGAGAGAGAGAGAGAGAGAGAGAGAGAGAGAGAGAGAGAGAGAGAGAGAGAGGGCCCTTGAACATATACACAATTAAAAATAAAATATTTTTTAAAAAACAAAAATATAAAGTAATTGAGAAAGGCATCCAACAGTCTTCTGCATATGCATCTATGAGCACACATATGCATAAACTAACACACACACATAAATTTTAACTATATTAATTTCTCTAGGTGAGCCATTTTGGTTTCATTTTATAGTAATTCCATTGGTCTTATTCTTTTTTTTAAGAGATTTTTATCACTCTTAATTGTGTGTACTTGTGTCTGTGTAGGTGTGTGCACATGAGTGTAGGTGGCCCAAGAGGCCAAAGAGTGGGATCCCTGGGGTTGGACTTACATGAGACTGTGAGTGGCCTGGTATAAGTGCTAAGACTCAAACTCAAGTCCTCTAGAAGAGCAACACATTCTCTTAACTTCTGAACCATCTCTCCAATCCAAGCACTATTCTTTTTTTTTCTTTTTTTTTAAATTTTTTTATTGAATGTTTTATTTACACTTCATACGTTGTCCCCTTACCCCATCCCCCACCCACCCAGGAACCCCCTATCCCCTCACCCCTCCTCCTTCTTCTCTGTGGAAGTAACCTCTATCTAACCCCCACTCACACCTCCCCACCCTCAAAATTCCCACCCCTTGGGGCATCGAGCCTTCATGAGGTCAAGGTTCTCTTCTTCCTTCTATGCCCAGCAGGGCTCTCCACTCTTACATACTCAGCTGAAGCCCTGGATCCCTCCCTAAGTGCTCCCAGGCTGGTGGTTTAGACCCTGGCAGCTGTAGTTGGTTGGTATTGTTGTTCTCTTCATGGTGCTGCAAATCCTTTCAGCTCCTTCAGTCTTCACTCTAACTCCTCCATTGAGAGTTCAATGGCTAGTTGTGAGCATCTGCCTCTGAATATGTCAGACTCTTGAAGACCTCTGAGGAGACATCCATATCAGGCTCTTATCAGCATGCACTTCCTGACTTCCACATCAGCATCTACCTTTGGTGACTGCACCTGGGATGGATACTCAGGTGGAATGGTCTTCAGACGGCCCTTCCTTCAGTTTCTGTCCCTCACTTTGTCTCCATATTTGCTCCCTTGAGTATTTTGTTGCTCCTTCTAAGAAGGACCGAATCACCCCCACTTGGTCTTCCTTCTTTATGAGCTTCATGTGGCCTGTGAGTTGCATCTTGGGCATTTCAAGGTTCTGGGCTAATATCCAATAATCAGTGAGTGAATACCATGTATGTTCTTTGGTGATTTGCTTACCTTACTCAGGATGATAATTTCTAGTTCCATCCATTTACCTAGGAAACTCTCGAATTCATTGTTTTTAATAGCTAAGTAATACTCCATTGTGTAAATATACCACATTTTTTTAATCCATTCCTCAGTTGAAGGACATCTGGGTTCTTTCCAGCTCCTGGCTATTATAAATAAGGCTGCTGTGAACATAGTTGAGCATATGTCCTTGTTATATGTTCGAGGATCTTCTGGGTATATGCCTAGGAGTGGTATAGCTGGATCCTCAGGTAATGCTATGTCCAATTTTCTGAGGAACCGCCACACTGATTTCCAAAGTGGTTGCACCATCTTGCAGTCCCACCAACAATGGAGGAGTGTTCCTCTTTCTCCACACCCTCGCCAGCATCTACTATCACCTGAGTTTTTAATCTTAGCCATTCTGACTGGTGTGAGATGGAATCTCAGGGTTGTTTTGATTTGCATTTCCCTGACGACTAAGGATGCCGAGCATTTCTTTAGGTGCTTCTCGGCATGTATATGTTTGCTTCTGTATGAGAAATGTCTAGGGCATTTGAATATTTCTTCTCCAGTTTGTGGCACTGTTTGGCCATTTAGGAGGTATGGCCTTGATGGAGAAATTATGTCAATGGGGCAGACTTTGAGAGCTTAAGGCCTCACTCTACCTGTAGTTTACTATCTCTGCTTGCAGTTCAAGATGGGAGCTCTTAAAAGCTGAAGAGATGGCTTAGTGGTTAAGAACACTGGCTGGGTCCTTCTTCCAGAGGACCCAGATTCAATTCCTAGCACCTACACAGTGGCTTACAACTTGTCTCTAAATCTGGTTCTAGGGTATCTAATGGCCTCTTCTGGCCTTCATGGGTACCAGGTACACATATGATACACCAACATATATACAGGCAAAGAAGAAAAATGAAGGGTGTGAGCTCTCAGCATCCTGCTCTATATGCTTTGTCTGGAAGTTGCCTTTGCCCTGCCATTTCGAACTCTAACTCCCTGGAACTATAAGCAAAATAAAGCCTTTCTTCTATAAGTTGTCCTGGTCATAGCTTTTTATCATAGAACAGAAAAGCAACTAATACAATGTACAAGTGACCTCAAAAGTTTACATGTTTGAGAGCCAAATGGAGAGTTAATTACAACGCATAGTCCTAGACATCACCTTAGATATTTTGATAAAGCAGATCTGAGTGCAGCCCATGATCTGGCATTTTTCCCAAGCTCCCATGCATGCTGAACTGACCTAGGGTACCTCATTATGTGTCATGGCACTGATGTATGATCTAGAACTCCATTTGGATGATACAGCTTCTGCTCCATCTCCAGACTAAAACAATGATACTTCATGAAATATAAAACCATATCGAGCAATGTGTTGACTGATAATGTTGAACAATGTATTCCATCTTTCACACAGAGCACAATTTATTCTGAAAGATGTTCAGGTAGAAATTAATACCTTCTTCCTCCACATTATCCTCCACCATTATCAATTACCACTTCGTGAGACCGTGGTCTTACTAGAATTAAGACAATCTTACTTTATAATGATGTTAAACCCTTAAGTTGGGGGCTTCGGAGATTTGGGCTCACTTTGAAAGATAGTTGAAGTTTCGATTTCCATCTTAAATCTTAACACAGATACAAAAATAGTATTTAAAATGTTTAGACTTTTTATTTCATGTGTATGTGTGTGTACTATATGTCTGTAGTACCCATAGGTCAGAAGAGGGAGTTAGATCATCTGGAAATGCAGTTAGAGATGGTTGTGAGCCACCATATAGATGCTACAAATCAAATCTGGTCCTCTAGATGAGCAGCCAGTGCTCTTAAGTGCCGATGCTCTTCCTTTTACTCATACTGCCCATTTCTTTATCTACCAACAAGCTCAAATATCTCCCTTGCTTATTTGTTTCTTTTTTTTTTAAATTTCTTAATGAAATTTATGATTTTGTGCGGGAAATAAA